TTAGAGTTGGAAAGGACCTTAGTCCTTCCAATCATCTAGTTCCAAACCCCCTGCCATGGGCAGGGACACCTCCCACTAAACCACTAAACCATGTCACCCAAGGCTCTGTCCAACCTGGCCTTGAACGCTACCAGGAATGGAGCATTCACAACTTCCCTGGGCAACCCATTCCAGTGCCTCACCACCCTTACAGCAAAGAACTTCTTCCTTATATTCCATTGAAACTTCTCCTGTTTAAGCTTTAACCCATTACCCCTTGTCCTATCACTATAGTCCCTAATGAAGACCCTTCCTCAAGGATAAAAGAGGGATTTTTCTAGCCTGTTTCAGTCTGGCCACCAACACATTCTGGCAATTTTAACTGACTGATCTCAAACTCCTGTTGTGCTGTAAATTGCTGTCTCCATCTCCAGGGCTATACGTAAGTGTGCTGAGCTAGTGTCTAATTTGAATTTCTGTTGACAAACCAGAGAGGAGCTTTGGGGTTCTTCCCTGGTCTGATGCAAAGATGTCCTGTGAGTGTATTGCGAGGTGACTTTTCCTCCCCCAACAAATCCCACGTGAGGATTGCAAATCTCCTTACTGAACTCTTGCTGCCCTTATGGGGCAGCCCTGGATGTGCAGCCATAAGCCTTGCTCCTCCCACTACCCTGCTTCCTCCCCATCAGGCACTGAATTCCCAGCCCTCTTCTCCAGCTCAGTAATAACAATAACGTCACTGGCACAACAGCAGGCAGGAAGATGATACATGCAGAAGTACCGACAAACAGCTAATCATCTGACTTAGAGTTCTTATTAAAATGTCAGAGCACAGGCATGTGACAAACCCCATATTCTGGATCTGTGTGCTAGAGAGAGCTGGAAATGGGCTTAGTTTTCCTACCCTCAACTGACAGCACAAAGTGTTTCTCCATAGAGTGTCAAAACAATATACTCTTTCTTAACCTAGAGTGTCAGAACAACTCTGAGCAGGAAGTATATTGCTGTCTGTAGTCAGAAGTTCCTTCTAAAAGGGGTTCCTGAAGTGTTGCCAATGCTGTAGCCATAGAAGCAGGAGATAAAAATACTTGCACCGGTTCTGGAGGCAGGGTTTGCAGAGCGTGCTGTAGCACACAGTGCTCCAGGGGCACTGCTAGGAGCTCTGCAGTGCACTACTGTGAAGTGAACCAGCTTAGGTAGCTAACTGCCTAAAATTCTGTGAATTAAGGACAAAAAATATTAATCATTTGCCGTGTGTTTCTTGGGGGTGGTATCTACCTGGATGTCTTTTGGCAATCCTCTGGAGCTACTGTTCAGCCATATATAACTCTGGACTCCCTTGGCTATTTCTTTCATTAGTATCTCCACCTGGGTACTAATTTGTGCATCCACAGGCTGACCTTATTTTTAATTTAATCTTTTGCGTGGACTCAGCATATCAAAGCCTCTCTTGTCAGAAAACTTTAGTTTTTAGTCTGAACTGTGATCAAACCATAGAGGGTGTACCTGAAGTCAGTTCTGTTTGATGTCCATCCATGGCAGAGCCCTTGCATGCTGCTTCTGGTGCTTCTCCTGCACCACCCGTGACTCGTCACCAGTTTCACTTGACACTGGATCTATAGCAGCCTCAGGGCCAGTACTAGGACATCGGCCCTGGCGTGAGGGCATAGGGTTAGTCACTCCCAGCAAACAATGGCTAATTGTGCAGATGTTTTCCTTTCCTCTAGAAAAGGACTCTGTATTGTATACACTGAACTGCCACCTCACTGCTCCCTTTTCTGCAACATCTTATTTTTTACAAAGAAGCTGCTCATTCCTCCAGAACTGATTGCGTGGCCCAGCCTCAGCTCAACTTGCATACAAATGATGTTACAAGGGGATTGAGGAACATACCATGTTGTTGGTAAAAAGCAGCAGTAAAGGACACAACCCCAGGTCTGAATAACACAAGTCTGAGATCCTTTTGTTCCATCCAGTAATTTGGAGTGGCCTGTTGGAGATGGGTATCATTGTTCTGTGAAAACAAAGGAGCAACACAAAAGTGGGGCTGGTGGGGTGTTTTTGAAGACTCTTTTCTCAAGTACCATATGTTCTAGGGGAATCTATGGGTGGCGTGGACAACTCATTTGCAGCACCTTTGTCAGTGTATTCGTGTTTCCCTCATGTGGTTCCAGCCCAAATTACAACCTGTGCAGGCTAAACATAGCAGAGGCTGGTTGCTTTCTCCTTTGAGATCACTAGTCCCATGCCTGCTCCAGTCCCACCCTTTTCCCAGTGTTTGGCCAAGGGTTGAGTGAGCAAGCAAGCCAAAGCTGAGCTGAGAGTCAGTGAATTGGTTATCATGGCTATCTTCAGTACTTTGTGCATCATTTTCCCCATCTACAGATGGAATACTAGGGCTTGTCTGATGCGTAGGCAGTGTGACAACATGGGTAAAGTCTGAAAAGTGCATGAGGATCTTTGGATCGTAATTATTCATACCAAAAAACCAAACTTGAGCATACCTTCTCTAGCACTCAACAACTAAGAGTGAGACAAGCAAAGTAGGATGTGAGCAGATGGGAAAGGACAGAAGAGAAAGACAAAACTGGCTCTGGTCAAGGGGAAACCACTGAAATTAGCAGGTAAATGCACAGCTCTGGGTATGACTGACCTGTAACTTTTCCCCTGGAAACTGAGAAAGGAGATAGCAGAGGTGATTTGATGCAGAGGAGGGGAAAACTAAGAATTTGAAAACTTCCCTTTCTATTGTACAACTTAGACAAAAAAATAAACCAAAAAAAAAAGTGTAATTATTTTTGCAAGTTGCTAAAAATTGTGCACTCCTGTTTTGTGAGGCAGGATTACTGCCCCGTGGAGCAGGGCTGCCATCTTGTGTTAAATGCCCACATACCTCGGGGCTGAAAGGCAGTAGGAAGTGGCAGAGGAACGTAGGTTCTCCCTGGAAACAGTTGTGAAGGCTTCCAGGAGGTTTCTGGACTTGAGAGTGCTTGACGCATGTTCAGCAAAACTAAATGTCTCTCCTTACTTCAGGCTTTCACTGTGGAGTAAACAAGAGCCTTCTAGGAAATGCTTTGTAGCTTGGTGAAGTCAGTCTTGAAGTGGACTTCAGAGAGCAGCTAATGAAATAAGTCACATTGGTAGATGTTCCACAAACAGCTGTTACTATTATTTCAAGTGTGCCTTATAGAACAAGAGACATAACCTTAACGTCACATTCATTCCATGCCAGTTTTCCCCTCATTAATGGTATAGTTATGTAATGATGAGGCAGATGTTTGTCACCTAGGAAATCAAGACCCTCATTAAATTCCCACATCATCAAAGATATTCTAGTCATTCAATTTGGCTTTACGCTATCCCCAAAGCTATCTTACCAACCTTCTCTAAAATTCTTTATGGCTGCAACTGAAACAGCAGTTAGGTTCCAAAACCTACCTGGGGACCTGGTCCTTATACTCCTTACCTTCAAAATAACCATATTTGCTGTATTTCACAGGCAAGAAGAGCAGCATATAAAGGAAAGTGAGAATTTGGGTATTCTACTAGGAAGACCTATGTGCACGCTTCAGAAAGATATATCCATGACCTGTGCATTCATATCAACATTAACATATACATGCAGTTCATTCATGGCTGCTTCTTGTGTGATATTTGATGTCTTTCTGTGTTAATGTTTTCAGTTGCTGAACATGGGGTAGAGACAATACTGATGTAATTCAAGAATCACCTTCTTACAAGTACCTAGGCTAAGAAAACATTTTACAGATGGTCTGTACCTATGGTGATCCAAAGAGTTTGATTAATATTTCTGAATTATTCAACATATTTGTATTGCTAAGGAAAGACTCGAATTATTTCTATCTGGGAAATGACTTAAGTGTTTTAAATGGTCTTATTTAATTTGATCTGCTTTTGACAACACCAGTAACAATAATTAATAAAAGATAAAATATGAATGCAAGAAAAATGTGATCGAGCTTTATTTCAGGGGTAGTGTTATTGCTCCTTCCCCCCCCCTTTGATCTGTTAGTGCATACATCATCTTTTTAAATTAAAATATAAGGGCTTGTGACTACTATTTCAAAATTGCTATATATCCTATTCAGAACTGAACTGTCTTCATTCTATATAACATGTAGGGCATTTAAGGCATATACTGCACATATTACCAATGTATTATGTCTTTTGTTTGCATGCAGACTGTGTTCCTACACAACTTCTTTTCTTTTTTTTTAATGTACTATAAATGGCATTTTCCAGGAGTTTGGTGTTATTATTTGGTATCAAGACCTTCTCACATGTCTTTGTTTTTCCTGTTGTGAAAATCATTCTGTCATGCCCAGGAAACTTAGGCTGGAGGCAAGCAGAATGAGCCAGCATCTGCAATCTCCCTGCAGGTCAGTAGCCTGCAAAGTGGGTCAGCACCTTGGTCCCGCTCCCTGCTTATTTGTGCAAACTGTGGTAGTTGTGTATGTAATAAATGGACATAGAGAATGTCAATAGCTAATTATCTGAAGGAAGTGTCAAAAGAAGCCACCAAAATATGTTGGATCTGAAAATGTATGGATTTTTAGTCTTTTTCCCTTTCTCATTAGACTAAGAAAGCTAATCTGATATTCCTAGCCCTGCTCAGAAAAATTAGTCTCTGCATGTAACAGTTCTGTATTATTTGCCATTCAGTAGAAACAGGCACTAGTGTCCTGGGAGGGCTGGCTGGGCATCCTTGCCCTCTGCAGATGCCTGCAGTTTCTCCTCTGGCACTGGATCCAGGTCTGGCACTTTCTGCCCTGCCTTGGCAACTGTGAATCTGCTCATGCGCAGAGCCTCTTCGTAGACTGGAGGAGTGTCTGATGCCGAGAGGGATGGTGTTCCCTGCGCAGCGTTATGGGAGTGTGCCACTGCTAATATCCTCCTGGCAGCAGGCCCAAACACAGAGTGGAGAGCTGAAAGGGAGGAGACAAAAGCTGTTTGCCTCATCCTGAAAGCACCATGTGATTAGAGGAGGACGAATATATCTGCAGCACACCGGCTTTTCTCTCCCCACAACCTAAATGTTTGACTTTTCCTGCCCCTTCATTCTTCCCTAAAAGAGGTGCGTTTGAGCACTCATCAGCAACATCCCACAATCAGTCCTTCCTCAAATGCCACCAAGGCTCTTAGCTGCCCCATTTCCAGCCAAACATATCTCACAGCTGATTCACTGTCTGGCTGCATTTGCTACATGAAGTCTGGTGAACACCTTAATTTGTGCTATGTACAGATGCTGCTTGCCCTGCATTCTGTCATGAATTCCCACTGTCAGCCTTGGGGTGCTGCAGTCAGTGCAGGCCCTCACTTCAGGGTGGATGGAGGTCCCCAGCCTCTGTCAAAGCCAACTCACAGGTAATGGTGCTCTGGAGGGTGCTGTCGTGATCAAAAGCAATGACGGTAACCTCATAGGGCTGAGGACCTGATTCCTCTCCTGTGTGATGGCAATGAAAACAGCATCTCATGCATACGGAAAGCAGGCCACACAGGAGCAGCAGCCCACCAATCACCACAACCAGCCTGGAAAGGGAGAGGACACAGGATTAGGACAGAAAGATTTTATTTGCAGGGAACCTCTTAATGTCTTGCCCTGCATAAAGCAAGGATAATTTCAATGCAAGGTAAAGTCTAGTCATCTGGGGCCTTGTCCAGCAGAGTTTGGACAGTCTCCAGGGATGGAGATCCCATATGCCCTCCAGGAACCTGTTTCAAGTGCTGCACCATCCTGAGGGGAAGCATGTTTTTCTTCTGTCTTATCAGAATTTCCCTGTATGCAGATTAGTCAGTCAGCTTAGGTCCTTCTGCAGGGGCATCTCTGACAAGGCTCTGGCTCTATCTTCTCTCAAGATCCACTTTTGGTAGTGGAAAACTGCAATTAGGTTGCTCCCTTAGCCTCCTCCACACTGAACAAACCTGGTCCTTTCAGACCCTCCTCATACGTCATGTCCTTTGGACCTGTGACCATTTTATTTGCTCTCCAGTGGACTTGCTTCAGTTTGTCAACATGTCCGTTGTACTGGGGGACCAAAACTGGACTACACATTTCATATGTGTCCTCATGAGTGACAAGCAGAGAGGAAAAATCATCTCTCAATCTGCTGGCTATACTGATCAATGAAGCCTTGTAGATGTCCATCTCTTTTGATCTTATCCTGATGAGAATTACTAAAGAATCGGACTAAAATTACTTTCAAAATGGGTGTTTTAAAGGGCACACTGTGCCACAAATTATTTACTGGTATTGTTAATCAGACTAAATTAATATGTGGAATAAAAAAGGCGTCTGGCACATCAAGATTTGTTCAAGACAATGTGATATGTAAGGGGTTGCGTTGCTACTGCAGACTGTTAGAGCGTCCCAAGGAAAAGTGGGAGGTGGCATCACACTTGAGCAGGTCACATTTAATCCCACTGTTTGCTACTGGAATTGTCCAGAGATGCAGATTTTTACAGTAAATGTATGCCATCTTACCAGATATACCACAGATGGTCCCACTCCGTACCTGAACAGCTGAGGAGGAGAGGGTACAAGAAATAGTTAGCCATAGAATACAAAATATGTGGGAGGATCTCTATCATACATTCTTCAGGTTCCTCCCATGCTCCTTAATTACCATCCACCTTCTAAAGGCACAACGATGAGAAACTTACTGTGCTTCGTGGAGAATAGAGTTGACCAACCTCACCAATCTCCTTGATAGACTTTCCCTTCTGTTTGGCTTTATCTCTTTGTTGTTCTCCTGATATTTATGCCTGCCCAAGTCTGTTTACAAAACTTAGGGATCTGCATTCACATTTGCTTTTGTCAGAATATAATTTCTGTTATTCTTACAAATGACATTCCCTGGAGTAATATTCACTAAAGCAATATATTTCAAACCATTTTTTTCAAGGAACAGTTGATTCCAAATTCATAATCTCAGCCAATCAAAATGACACCAGAAAGCTCTTAACTATTACAGTTACACAAATAGGTAGCAGGAACAGTATGGCATGATCAGTATGTTGTTCAATAAAATAGTAATTAATACACTTCATATTCAAAGAGATGGAGATTTTATGTGAGTTTTCAGTAGCTGCAGTTAAATAAGCTGCAGCCATCACATTGTCAGCCATCACATCATAACAGTGACGTCTACTATTGCTTTTGTCTGTAATTGTCTTCTTAAAAAAGTGTAAAATAGACAAGTACTCACAGTTCAGTGTTGAGACAGTTTTCCTCACCTCTGACTTGGGAGAACTAGAAGGGGAAAACCAAACAAGACACAAATAGTGTGAATTAAGTTTGTCATATACAGCTTTGTTACCTGGATCGTTACCAGTCTGAATCTCAAGGACTTATTGTTATTTATCTTTCTTTGTATGCATCAGAAATTTTGCTGTAGTTTTGAAGTAACTGTGATACCAACTGCATTGTTTCATATCTTAACTTCCTGTAGTCATTAAAATCCGACTTAGCACTGTTCCCAGCACACACCCCATCTTATCTTCACCCTCACCACAGGTTTCCCTCTCCCCTTACAGATGTAGATCCTTCTCCATGCTCAAATATTAAGAACCTTTAAATGTCCTGCTTCGCATTATATATGCATATATATATATATATGCATATATATGCATATTATGACTTGAATTCTGCTCAGACCCTCCAGCACTCCTATCTTTCTAATTTCTTTGGATACCCTGATCTCTGTGTTATCATTTCTGGAGTAGCAGCAAATATTCTTCTTTTCTGCATGTCTGCCTTTTATATGTCTCGTTCTTTCTAACATCAGGGAAATTATTGTGACTGTCAATTGCTAATGATCCTCCGTCTTTCTAAGGTAACTTCATAACTGAGCAGAGATCCCATGAAAAGGAACCTGAGATGCGACTTACCCATAAGAAACACCCTAAACCAAAGCACATCATGACTGGGCTATGCATCCCTGTAGGGCTGGTAGTTCAGTGGCCTCTTGGTGTCTCAAGCTGTTCTTTGTCTTCTTGTCCTTTAGTTTCTGTTCTTCCTCACCAGTCCACTAATCAGAAGAAGGAGCAGATTTCTTACTGTGTGTTGAGGCCAGTTTCTTCTTCCTGTTCTATCTCTTCCTCTCCTCCTCTGGGTCTATTCTTCTCTGCCCTTCAGGTTTTTGCTTTCTCTCTTTGTCACTGGCAATTCATGTTTGTTTCTGTTTGTCTCCTTTTGTTATTTTCTGGGCCTGCTTCTCTCCCTCTTTTGAAGAGGTCTCTAAAGCCTTCCAGTCAGATCAGGAGAAAAGCGGTCGCTACAAGTTCTTACTTCAGATGTTGAACTAGTTCAGTGAAGGGCATCATGAGATCTCTGCAGACCTGACCCTTCCCTTCTGTGAGCAGAAAGGGTCTCTGAGTTTGTTCATTCCCAATTATTCATCTCCCCACCCATACCCTGAGGGTAGGTGGACTGAAGGTCATGTTACTGACCTGTTTAAATGAAGTTTAGATTCCTTTCCCTGCTCCAGTACCGTTTCTGTCCCTGCGCTCACAGTGTCCCACCTTTGTGGATCCAACCTATTGACTTTAGCCGTAGGGTCAACATACAGAGTGCATGTTACAAGCAAGGTGTTCCTGCTGAAGTGAAAGAATTTTCAATATAATAATTATATACAGCATTTTATATGGAGAGTTATATGTATATATGTGTATATGAATGCAGCAGATATGCATATATCTGTCCTGGGTTCAGCTGTAGCATATATTTTTTTCACATCTGTGCATATATATCATAGGTTGTATCATATATGTATGCATATGCACACACACACATATATATGCATATGCAACACATCTTGTATCTCCTATTATAAGGCTCCTCCACCATCCCTCTTACCTGAACTTCCTGCATGGCCAGCCAAGTCCCAGTGAGTGGTGTACATTACAGGGAATACATGTTGACCTGGACACTATTTGTCCTGCAGCTGGTTATATTAGTAGGCTGCATTCAACGAACCATTAATTTTCTCTTCTGTATAGCTGCTTTAGTTTTCTGTTACTGCTCGTGGCTATTCAGAGTGTTATTTACATGCATATAATTGTGTTCACCTTCTCTTTCGAATAGCTGAGAGAGAAAGAAAATGCTCTGCAGTAATGGGTTACTATTTGTGTTTGGGAACCACCTGGGACTGGTACATTAATATATGTTAAGGGCAAGATAGCAACTAGAGAAACTTGTTGCCCCGTGTTGCAGTCACAATGCATTCACATTAAACTGGTGAATCATTAGCCCTGGTGATGCATTTTAGAGTTGCAGAGCAGGACCAATGGATTCATGAACATAATGTACTCTCTCAAGGCAGGCTAAAAAAAGTTTACCATTCTTTAATTATAAAAGCAGTGGTGCAGTGTAAACATCCCTTAGCATGAGTTTTTCTTTCTTTCTTTCTTTCTTTCTATCTATCTATCTATCTATCTATCTATCTATCTATCTATCTATCTATCTATCTATCTATCTATCTATCTATCTATCTATATCTATCTATCTATCTATCTATCTATCTATCTATCTATCTATCTATCTATCTATCTATCTATCTATCTATCTATCTATCTATCTATCTATCTATCTATCTATCTATCTATCATCTATCTATCCATCCATCCATCCATCCATCCATCCATCCATCCATCCATCCATCCATCCCACTCAGTTACTAGAAGAAGGCTTCTGAGACCTGGTGGACAAATAAGAAACAGAAACATGAAGTATTTGCTTTGTATTTATATGAGAATTGCCCAATACTGTTTTTGTCTCTCACCTTCTTTGTCTTTCTCCTTAAATGCTTTTGTGTATTAGAAGAGTTTTAGAAGAAAAGACCCAGCAGAACTGTAAAGTAGCCTTTCTTATATGTATAACTTTTAAAACTAGTAGGATTCAATATGGAAAGAAAGTGCAAATTTACAATGTTTTTCCGGGCCTTTTTAATGTCAGTGTGATAATTCAGTAGATTATCACTTGATTTTTACCTGAAATTCATAAGGATTTCAAATTCTAGGAGGATTAAACTGGAGAAATATCAGATAAAGTGATAAAAAATTTCTCTAAAGAAAAAGCATTAGTGTGACATAAAACAGTGACCCCTCCTGTTAAGTGCATATCATAACTTATTCTTGATGAATCTTACTGATCACTCTTTTTCTATTCCTAGGGCATTGCCATTAATACTGTGCTTCCAGTAATCCACCTATGGCCTTGCTAGGCTATCATTCAAGAATGTTTTAAATTTCTTCACATTACCCTGGTATTTTGCCTCAATTATCTCTAGTCTATCTTTATTTGCTTTATGCTATATTGAAGTGACTTTTCTCTTTCATATTTTCCCCTTACCACCTTTCAAAAGGTTTAAAAAAAGTGGTCAGACTTTTAGAGAATTGCTAAAACAAAAATATCTCATAACTGACTTTTACTCTCTTCTTTGTTTTTGTTTAAAATCTTAGAGTCCATTCCATAGTCTGTGAGTTGAACGTATCCTTTCTTGGATGCCAGAGAAAGCAGATTATGGTATGAACAGAAAATACTTGTGTCCTCTCTGCTTCCCTCTTCTGGTTGCATCAAGGGATGCATCTCAAGCCAGTTCTAATTTTCGTTTCACAGGTAGCACGACCTTAACTGGGAGCAAAGCTTCCTAATGAGCTGAAAAACTGCTGTTGAACTGCTCTTAGAAGTTGTTGAGAAATTGCTGCTTGTTCCCTGTTACTCTTCAAAGGAGTGTTCTACTAGAGCCATCTTGATTAGTCATCCCCAATGCTTCCCCATGGACATTTAGAAATATAAAGTATGGAAACACATGTGGGGCCCAGAAGAACCCTCAATACTTCTACAGGTGTAGTAAGACACCTTACTTATTATCTATTATGTAAGACACATGATTATCAAAGCTTTCATGTATTTTACACTGGTTGTTAATAATCCAAAAGGGCTCTGTTTCTTGCAAAGCAAAACCAGATCCTTTTTCAATAAACTATGCATAAAGTAGCAGAACACTTCCCTCCCACATTTCATGCAGTCATAATTTAACCACAGCTGGCAACTAAGCCCCACACAGCTGCTTACTCACTCCTGCCTGTTGGGATGGAGGAGAGAATCAGAAGAGCAAAAGTGAGAAAACTCATGGGTTGAGATAATGACAGTTTAATAGGTAAAGCAAAAGCCATACACACAAGCAAAGCAAAACAAGGAATTCATTCACCACTTCCCATCACTGGCAGATGTTCTCCAGGACAGTAGGGCTCCATTATGCATAACAGTTATTTGGGAAGACAAACACCATCACACTGACCAGCCCCCCCCCTTCTTTCTTCTACCACCAGCTTTATATGCCGAGCATATCCCATATCGTATGCTGACACCATATAGTATGAGGTATCCCTGGGGTCAGGTGTCCCAGCTGTGTCCCTTCCCTACTTCTTCATACCCCCAGCCTGCTCATTGGTGGATAGGGTGAGAAGCAGAAAAAGCTTTGACTCTGTGTAAACACTGCTCAGCAATGACTAAAACATCCCTCTGTTATCAACACCGTTTCCAGCACAATTCCAAAACATAGCCACATATTAGCTGCTATGAAGAAAATTTACTCTATCCCAGCCAAAACCAGCACACATGCTCTTTCCACACTGGACATGTGCAGGACATAAGGGTTACCTCTCCTTGACAGAAAATGTGACAGAGGTATCAAAATCTCTGTCTCCAATGAGCCTTATGCAGCTCTTTGAAGGCAACATAAGGCAATCCTGAAAATTAATATTTATTTGTCTCTATTTGTCTGCCCAAATGCTAGAGTCTAAGTCACTGCACTTGCTTTTTCCATGGTAAGATAAGTCAGTGAATGTCTTCTGCCCGGTACCCAGGGAGCTCTATCTCCAGTAGCCTGGGCTTAGCAAAGCCCTGGTGAGATGTCGTGCTGGAGGGCTGTGTTCTGTGCTCATGCTTGTTCCTGAGTTGACAGCTGGTGAGAGCAGCAGTTCTGGAGCTGTGTGAAGTAGAGCCATATGAAGTAAAACTTAAAATTCAGATTTCATTCCTGTCATTTTGCCAGCAAACCCAGAAATACCAGGAAATGTAGGACCAGTTAAGTTTCTCCATCTTATTCCTAGTGCTCAAATTTCCAAAGAGTATGGTGCAAGTGCTAAAGCTGACATCCCTTCCTGGATGCAGCACCAGCCCTAGAGGAAATGGTACGCTGCTATGCTCTGTCAGTCACTCTTGCTAAACGCAGTGATTATCACGTGTCTGTGCCTAGACTACTTCCAGCCCAGAGCAAGTCCAGGAGCACAGCATCATACTCTGGTGCATGAATTTTCTACCCAGACTCCCCATTAGTTCAGGAGATATCTTCAGCTTATTGCCTTTTGCAGTGCAGTCATACCTGGAACAGCAGATGGGAAACCCGGATTAGTTTCTTTGTGTCCTTGGAATGGGCAATGACTGTGACAGGTCAGTGTGATACCCCATTAAGACAAACGTGATGTGTGTGGTTACAAAGAATAAATAAAGGGTATCAGGATGTTGCTCACTTCATTTTGGCACCAGTTCTCCTGTGCCACTTGAGAAATCAAGGGACCCTTCTCACTGAATTTACTGAATATTTATCACTGTATAATAAACCCAGGAAACAAACACTCCTGCTACTGAAAAACTTAAAGGAATTGTTTAGACTCAATCAAAAATTAATGTAATTTCCTTTTCACATCTCCCCTTCTTTTTTGGTTTGTGGGTTGTTGTTTGTTTGTTTGTTTTTTTTTTCTTACAGAAAGGATGTACTCAAGTTAGGGAACTCTAGGCATCTGTTCCAGGAACTGAGAACTGTAAGATTTCCATGCCCCATTGAAGTTTTGCATATGCAGAGGAGATTTAAATACTATTCTGGGACTCTGCTGCATGTAAACAACCCCCAGTATCACTGCGTCATAAAATCCTTTAGCATGAGCAAAAAAAAAAGCAGCATTCAACTTTTGCATGAATCACTCTCTTAGCTCTCAATGACACTGATGGCTCGCTTCGTCCCAGCCAGATCAGATTATCCCTATTTCTCCTGTGGGACTAATTAAACTTTTGAATTCTCATGTAACCTCACCAGAAACGAGAAGTGAAGAAGTGACCTATGCAGACCTGAAATTCATGACACTGGAAAAATCTCAGGACCAGGAGCTCCAGACTGCCACAGCAAAAGGTAATGGTGGTACTGAAGGGGGAGTTCTCTCCAAGGCAAATTCTCACCTTGGAGAACATTTCTGATGTGGTGCTCAAAGGAGGATGTCACCTACCAAGAAGAATCTGGCTCCTGGGAGCCCTTTGGATTCCAATCTTCTAAGAAATTGGAGGGAGAAAAGAAAGAAAGCAGGAGATTAAAAGGAATAGAAGGGTGGAGAATGTGAAAAACTGTTCCAATTTGAGAGGAGAGATATAAATAAGGTTGTGGGATACAGTTAAGTAAAAATAGACATATTCCATTTGGACATTAAGTGTCAGCTCCTGGAATTTAATGAAGTATCTGCCAAAGGGAATTTGCAAGTCTTTCAGCTTTATTCATTTAAATCTGACAAACTGAAAGTAAATGCCAGGGAAAAAGATGTTTTCTCTCAAGGAAATGAATAGATGGACGAATATCTTTTTGTACTTTAAAATCATAAAAATTATGCTACATAGCTTCACAGAGGAAGGGAGGAATGTGACTGATTGCAAATCTATATTCTTTATGCTTGCATTAGTGCTTTAGGATTGCTCAGTGTGGAAGGTAGTGGCAAAGCAATGGGAATATTATATTCCAGCCTGACTAAATGTCTGGTGATGAATTTGATAAATTTGAATTTATCTAGTAGATTAAAAAACTCTTTCTGAGGGAAATTTCCCCTTATTGACTAGCCAGTGATTATCTTATTTCCACTTTTTAGGGCATCCTTGAGTTTTATCCTTGGAAGCTGAACCTGAATGCCCAGTAATCTAGTAGGGTTCTTTGGTTAAAGGTTTAGGGAACACAAGGAATAAAATGCAGAAATACCACAGGTTGATATGCTGCTATTTCTGCTGGTGACATAATATTAGGATTCCTACTGACATTTGAGACTGGGCTCTAATAAAAGAACACAAAAGTCATAAATTGGAAGCAGTCCTTTCCCCTGAGTTCTGGGTCTGTGTAAATTCACATGGGCACTTGCATTTGCCCATATTGCAAGAATGGGCGTGTGCATTTCCAGGTGTGAGACAGTTTCTGTGAACGTGTGTCTTGTTCACATCTACATACACTAGTTTCAGGTTATTTTACAGGGGCCTGGCTTTCACTGGTGACTATTTCTGAGGTTATTTTCTGAAACAATGAATTCATTCCTTCTTGGCAGGTTAGGCACTCAAAAGTAAAAATACCCTGATATCTGGCTACGTATGAAAATTTCAGCCATGTTGTAAGCACAAATGCTCTTTCCCCATGTCTGAAATTCTGTGCTGTTCAGCCTTATTTGTCCAGTTCATTTTCTCTGGAAAGCTCCTGGCTAAGTTAGTCTCCATGACTTGCTCCATTTACAGCCCCCAGCTGCTAAGGAGTTGGGGGACTGGCAATGGCCTAACAAGGGGACAGTTTTCATAATGTAATACTGCACACCAGTCTGAAACTCAGGAATTCACTGGGCTGACTGCCGTTCATGTTGTCTTGTGCATCATAGGATCTGCAGATGAAAAAAGATGAGAGGTTACTGTTCTTGCTGCCTTTGCTTCTTTTTGTCTGCCTCAGATTACCCCAGCCCATCTTCCTGTTGGCGACTGGCTACAGTGATGCTTGGGGTCTTCTGCCTAAGTTCAGTGGCAGCTGCAGGAGTCTTGGCTGCCAAGTGTAAGTATGGTCACAGAAGGAATGTTCAGAGTTCAGTATGAGCAACTAAAAGCCTAGGAAATTGGTTAAGGAGGAGGATTAGCCGAGGAAATTAATGATGAAAAAAACCTGGCCCTTGCTGGAAGAGTTTACCCACTCAAGAGACCTCCCAGTCTTTGAAATTGGGATGTATTATGTCATGATTATGGGTGTGCACAAACTGTAAGTAGGTCAGGTATATTCAGTTATGGGGAGGTATGTGTGTCTTTGGTAAGTTTATTCAAGTTGCATTGGGCAGTTTAGCTTTAATATTAATGGAACAATTTCTTTCTTGTTTTGCTGCGATTCAAGTCATCCTGGTCTCCCACCTTATGCATGAAAGGGATGAAAACTTCACCCTGCAAAAGGCAATTGTGGAAAGCCTCAACCAGCATCTAGAGCTCCTCCAGGCTCAGAATTTGAACTTGACAGAGACTGTAAAGCAACTTGCCACCCGCAGAGGTACACAGTGGTGGGAAGATGATCTTTGTATTGCCTATGGTAGACGCAGATTGATTTCTTTTTCTTTTTTCTGTCAAACATACTGGAAGGACAAATCTCTAACATAACCCTGAATGGTTTAATTTAAAAATGAACTTCAAGCTGCATTTCCATTTTGGTAATTGTTTTAAGCATCAGTCTTTCTGAAGTATGTTTATCGAATTTTTATAATGGAGCTGGTTTATACCTCAAACCAACTATTTTAATTCAGAAAATACTACAATTATGACACTTTAAAAACAACAACAAAACCCAAGTATTTCTAATAGAAATTAATTAATTGATGATTCATTGATGCTACTGCTCCTTCTTTCACAGTCGGTTTCAGGAAATTATAGTAAAAATGTTTTGATGGAAAATTCCTACTGGCTTTAATTGTTTGGAAAGCTTTGAAGACAGCTTCATTGTGTTATGCAGTAGTGGGTGCAACAGTGTAAGTACTGCTGCTCTCTACCAAATGTGATTGTAATCACTGGCTTTAACAGTTTACAGACTTTATGCAGAAGGTAATTTTTTCTTTTTTCTTGTGCAAAATAATGATGTGAAACTTTAATGATGTATAAGCTGAATATGATGGATTATCATATTGCAGAGGGAAAAGGATCATAATAAATTAGCATCTTGTGAGAGAGTGGCAAGGTTATCATCTGTGTAGATGTCTGCATTTCAATTTAACACAAACCATAAGGTACTTGTAAGAGTCAGGTGCACTGTGCTGTGTTACCTATTGCCATCCAGCATCAAGTCCTGAAATTCCCAGCTGGCACTGGTTTGTTACAGTATAAAATGGTCCTGTGAACTGGAGAGCCATGAACATGATTCATCCTATGGTTGGGACCCAGTTCCCAGAGGTCTTCAGAATACTTTAGCTGACAGGCTTTCTTGCTGCTTGCAATTATTTTGGTTTCCAGCTAGAAATGGAGTTCCCCAAATGGTGCAGGAGTGAAAGAAAAATCCAACATTTTGAGGTCCTTCTGGCTTCAATACTACTCAGGGTTCCAACAGGCAGCTAACAGAATAATGTGGCAGAATAGAGTGCAGCTGTCTGAAAGGCATTTTCTTTAACAACAGTGGGTTCATCTTTCACTTTGGCTGGCTATTCCTATCCAAGATCTGCACACTGAATCCACAGCAAGCATGAAATGCTATAAGAAAAGTTAAATAATAAATTGAATTGTAAAGCACTTAGCTGTTAAGGTCCTTCCCAACCCTAACCATTCTATGATTCTCTGATTCTATGTTAACAAGGTTAAAAGTATGTTCACATGAACAGAGATGCACCCGTATGACTGAAAGTCTAGGGATTTTTTTGCATCCACCTAGATCCATGTTCGTGCACATGGCACAACCTTCCAGAATTTCCTCTATTTGTATTTTACCAGCACCTCCAGGATTCCTGGTCAGATTCAAAAAAATCTTTATTATTTGTTTTTTTCTGATTTTCATTTAGAAATGTTTTCCTGGTCTTCTGGCAACTGGATTTATTAAGTCTCCAATGAAGATGTGAATTTATCTGCAGAATAAAGGAGGAATTGTTGCTCCTCTGTGGTAGAGAGGCTCTGCACTAGACCACTAGAGATTGCTGTCACTGACAAACCTGATCAGGTACTCCGTTGTTTTTAAGGACATAAATGTATTCCTTGCCCTGAGAACTGGCTACAGTACGGGGAGAACTGCTACTTCTTTTCAGAGGAATGGAAAACCTGGCAAGAAAGCAAGGCAAAATGCTCGGCTCTGGAGTCCAGACTTCTTAAGATAGAGAGTAAGGAAAAGCTGGTAAAGATATATATATTTTTCTCTCTACAGTCTTCATTTTACTGTGGCCTAGGCAGCCATTCCATCCTTCCACTGGTGCAGTATGCTATGGCATGTGTGTGCTGGACCAGGGACAAAAACTGAGCATGCCCCTTTGGATTCCTCCTGCCTGTACTGTGGCTGCACCCTCCCTGGTGCCTTTCTACTGGCTTCACAGGAGACCCAACTTGGGTCTATGTCTAGACCCCGTCCCACCTCAGGGCAGATATAACTGAGCTAGTAGTACTGGTTGGCAACTCTTCTGTTTTCTTACTAGGGCAAGCTATTTAGCAAACGTCAGAAGCATGTCCACAACTAGAAACCTCACCAGCTTGGCCAGCTCCCTGGCATCTGCTCCCATATGAGCAGAAGAGGATCTGTATCTTTGTCTGACTGTTACATTGTAGGTGAAGTAACAGAAAAAGCACAACCAGAAGAGCTCTTGAGTGCAAAGGAAGTTCTACCCAGACCCTTGATGGCAATGGGTCTCTTCATTTGGGACTGCAGCAATAGGACAAAGGGTTGTGGGTTCAAAGTTAAACAGGGGAAATTCAGATTAGATATAAGGAAGAAGTTCTTTACTGTGAGGGTGGTGCACTGACACAGGCTGCCCAAAGAAGTGAGTGCTCCATCCCTGGCAGTGTTCAAGGCCAGGCTGGACAGAGCCTTGGGCGACATGGTCTAATGTGAGGCATCTGGATTGGAACTAGATGATCTTAAGGTCTTTTTCCAACCCAAACCATTCTATGATTATGTCTTGAACTCTACGGTTTTATTGTCTGTATTTTGAATTTCTTGTGTAAAAGGATAGCAAATGATTTAAAGGCCTTTTCCTGCCTGGCTTATGCAACCAGAGTGTTGGAAGGAAGTTGTTATCCTATACCCATTACCCGGCTTATGTTCTAGCTTTGGTTATCTCATCTGAACTGTGGTTTTAGCTGAGAACTATGAAAGCTTTTAGGAGGTTCATTTTCCCTATGTCCAAAACAGCACTGATGGCCAGAAGTAGAAGGCAGGGCCCAGATTCACTTGGGAAACAGGTGTGAGCAGCTCACTTTCATTTGCCTCTCTGCTTTTCCAAATCATATGCTGTTGTGACTGAAGCAGGGATGTGATTCACAGGCTCTGAATTTCCCCACAGGACTTCATAATGCGATTAGCACTGTCTCGCAGTTCTTCCATTTTTTGGATTGGGCTGTCTCGCAACAGAGCCGAGGGGACCTGGCTGTGGGAGGATGGATCAGCTTTCTCCCCTGATTTGTAAGTCCTTACACAGGTGGGAGCAGACCATGTCCAGGCATATTGTTCTGAGTCAGAAGCAGCAACCTTTAACTTCCACTCAGTAATGGCCTGTTGCCCTGCCTGCTTGTCAGCAGGCAGGTTCCCCAACATCATTCACTCATCAACCTAGGCAAGCCCCCAGCAGAGAACTTATGGGTCAAATGGGTAGCAGCAGTCAGGAATTATTGTATCAGCCTGTGATTTTTTCATGGGCTGATGAATATCTCTGCTATTTTTTTTTTCACAGGTTTCAGATCCAACGAGCCAGCTTGAGTCCTTCTCTAGACTGTGTGTGGCTTCAAGGTGCAAACATAGACACTGCACGGTGCAGTGAATACAAATTTTACGTCTGTGAGAAGGTGGTGGATCTTGTGATGGTTGAGCAAGTGAGCTACTCAGACAGGCACTAGGGTGCAGAGCTCTGTAGAGAGCCCTGTCCTGGGATATACTCACAACAGTGGGGGTGAGTTCCAGCCCAGAATTTGCAAGAGTCAAAACATTATCCTGAGTCTTAGCTCAGTCAGAGTCCTTGGGCTTTAATTAAAAATAACTTAATTTCCTCTTTCTTCTTTCAGCCCTCGCATTCCTATGCAAACACTTCTCATAAATTCCTTTGTAAATGAAACAAAATTAAGTATGTGATTCTGGAACTCTATTGTAAAGATTCATACCTATCTCCCAGAAACAGGAATCAATGACTACTTATAAGAGCAACACATAATGTTTTTGAAATCTGTCCATTGGGTATTCACAGATGTGAGCTCCCAATTTACAATAGATTTCCAAATATTTTATTTAATTTCACTCTCCACCTGCTGATAACTGAAAGTTCAATCAAATCAGAGCCTCCCTTAAAAGACAAAAATATTTCTAGTCCTCCTGGTTAAAGAAAAAAAAAACTGAAATGGGATTGCATCCCTTATGGGCTAAAAAAAACAGAAGGCAAATACACAACACATCTTCACTGAGGGAAGTCAGCAATTTTTAATACCTAGGAATGCCAGTCCAACTACTACTGTATTATTGCAGCTGCATTCCTCTAAGACATCTGCCTTGAAAATAATCCATGTCACACATGATGCAGTTCTTTGATTTCTCAAATCCATTTTCCATTCTGCTGCAGAATTTCTCAACTGGAATAAATATTGCTGCTATTGACCTTTTCTGTAGTGTATCTTTTTAGTAAGTCACTGCAAAAAGCGACTCAACAACTGTCAAATAAAGGGCCTTTAATGGTTCAAAGCCTCCTGCCACTTCACTGCTGTTTAAGGGGCTGTTCAAAGGGAAGACTGCTTCAGAGAGAGCATCTCTCTTCCATGTCACTAGAGAACAAGAGAGGTCTTTGAAATCTCTCAGAAGCAGTCAAGTTTATGGTTAGAACTTCTGTTCCTGTGTGTATTTTGTACTAATTTGAGACATTCAATGGAAATTGAACTGTTGGAAGGTGAAGATATTTAGGCAAGTCTCTATGTTTATTTCAGACATAAAGCCGTGCACTGGAAGTGTGCAGTAGTAACAGCCAACAAGTGTGCTGCCTCCCTTACTAAATGAGTGCTTAGCAATCATAGAATCCTAGAAAGGTTTGGAAAGGACCTTAATGTCATCTAGTTCCACCCCCCTGCCATGGGCAGGGACACCTCCCACTAGACCAAGGCTCTGTCCAGCCTGGCCTTGAACACTGCAAAAGATGGGGCATTTACCTCTTCTTTGGGCATTACCTTAATTATGTATACGACAAAGTAATTTAGAGAAGTAGGGACAGCAGAGTGTCTTGACACACAGGTATCTCTTAGTCTGGAAATGCTGCATTTTGTAAGTCTAAACACATGGCCTAAGCAGCCATGGAAATACTACCTGGGATCCCAGCACTGACTGGTCTACAGTGGATGCAGGTAAAACGTGAATAGTGGGAGTGGTAACACATACAGGGCTAACCATTACATTCTGCACAGCTACCGATGAAGTCTGGTCCTCCGAAATTACCACAACTTCAATGTCAATTTGTCTTGAAAGCAAAGTCATCTCTGCTGTCATTTGGCTGCAGAAAGCATTTAAAACTGACAAAGTTCAAAAGGCAGCATACAATTGTTTAATTGAATGAACTGACTCATTTTGAGTTATACAATGCTCATAGGCAACTCTTTGGATTTGTTGCACACTGAAAAAGACAAAAAGTTTTTTTTTTGATAGCTACTGCTAGATTTGTAATTTGTTCTCTGTTGTTGCTTTAAGGTCTTAGCACAGGCAGTTCTGTATTCTTGAGGTTATGTTTTTCACTGTGATAAAAAAATTGAGGAGTATATAATTAGCCTTTTGAATTCAATGCAAAGTCTGTTAAAATCAGAATATAAGCCTTGTACCTATGGCATGTTGTTACAAAACAAGTGATCATCTCACAAGCCCCTCTCAGTGCTTCTTGGCAAATAATTTCTTTACTGTTCCCAACATGATTATTTGTCTCAGTAGCTCTATCAAACACATAGTGCCTATGTGTTTTAAAGACAAATAGATCTACTCACTTAGTTTTCTTCTATTGCTTTCATTTGCTTCCTATTGACGTATAGCTGCAGAAGTAGCTCGTTTCTTGACAAAGCTCAGAGATGCAACCTTGAACAGGCTGTCACATCTCTGCTTTTTCATGAGTTTTCTTCTCTGCATTGTCTTGCTCTTTACCCTGGTGGCAGACAGTCAATAAATCACCTGCATCATAAAACCTTAAATCCAACTGGGGAAAAATGTTCTTGCAGCAGGATCCAGATACTCATAATTAACAAAGAAAATGTATGCATCTCTTATTTCATGTGGAAAAAGAAGGTGCTGTCTTTAACAGTAGGCCTTACAAAATATACTGACATTTTCAAGTTGCATAGCTACATGATAGATAGATAAAAAAAATACTGCTAAATCACCTCTGCTAAAGACTGCTGAGAGAACAAGGAAGCAAGGAGAGAAGCACAATGATTTGTTGAATATACAACAGTAAATACAGCTGCATATTTGGTGTTTTGAGTGAAATATTTAAGTTTTCTGAAGTTTTCAGTTTTGTTTAAAGTATGTGTTAATGTCCTGGACCTAAAATCAAAGTAAAAGGCATGGAAGATGGTCAAGAGAGATTTTTTCTGCGCACTTTGAATGCTTCACAGTCAGGATTTTGGGAAACTTCATTTAAACGTATGCATTCAAACTTGTTTAGCCTAATCTTTTGCCCGGCCTCTAATCTTTGATTCTCTTTCCACCACCATCTCATCTCAAACCTTCTTGGTTAAAAGAACTAGTTTTAATGCTAAAAGAAGAAGTAAAAAGGAAGCATCTTCCAGTTCTCTGGTTAGAATCATGTGGGGATTTTTTTTTTATTTTGCTAAATTTTCTCATCCTGTAAATTCAGTGTAAAGAACTTTGTGGTTTTACACTAGAAAGCTAAAAGGTAGAGCTTGTCTAAATCCTTCCAGAGAAACCTATTTCTGTTTCAGAAATTTGGAGTCAGTGATTTGCACACATATGACTTCTATCCTGAAAACTTACCTACCATCCCTGCTTGTCACTGTTCTGGAGGCCCATCAGGAAACTGAACAGGAGGAAGGGCTCATTTCTGTAGAAGGGTTGCCCTTTTGTTTTGATTTGAAAGAAAAACAGTCATTTGTAAAATATTTTTTTTGGCAGAGAAAGACCTTGTAAGTCTGATTAAGCCATCAGCAGGAAACCCAGTATCTTCTCACTATTCAGTGTTTCCTGTATTTTATTCTTTCTCAATCTTTAGATTTATTGGGCTTCTTTTAGAAGAACACAGCTAGTAACAGCAACACCTGAAACAAACAGATTCAAGTGACATATGGAATTGGAGCACTCAGTTGGAACACAAATGCACAAGATGCCTTTGTGGGTAAAGCATTTCCTGGAGATGGACAGTCAAATGACCATGCTGAAGTCATATTTGCTGCTATTTTTAGTGTTGGATTAAGCTGAAGGCTTGCCATAGCACAAATTGTGGTGCATGTATTTGATAAGAATTGTGTAGCTGGAAAGCAGTATTTTGTAGGGGAAAGCAAATAAATAATTAATATCAACTTGACCATGTTATGACTGCAAAAATCTTATGCACTTAAAAAACTTGCATCTTCAGGCATAAGGTTACAACTCAAAGGAAGGGAGCAGTTTATTCTGCTGTATAAGTAAGACCGTGTCACAAATATTACATATTCATAGACCAGGAAGTGTCATTGCTGAATGTGGTGGTTCCAGTGTGTACCTATGCCAAATGCATATAGAAATATGCATCAAATTTGTAATGGATGTAATGTATTAAGTGTGACAAAGTATGGCAAAATACCTTTTCTAATTTGTCCACCCAACTCAGTTTTCCAGCATGAAGTAAAGATCTAAAAGTCACTTTCAAACTTGGAACAACAATAAGGAGATTTTTGTAATTAGTGTTCCTACTAAAAAATAGCAAGCACTATAAACTAAATTGAGCACCTCATTTCAACATAGCCACATCAGTATCACACAGAGATTTTATTCACTAGGATCTAAAATTTGAGCTCCTAGAAAAAACACAGACTCACCAGATGATTGAGGTTGGAAGGGACTTCAGATCAGAGGGCTGGAGCACCTCTCCTATGTGGAAATGCTGAGAGAGCTGGGCTTGTTCAGCCTGGAGAGCAGAAGGCTCTGGGGAGACCTTATTGTGGCCTTTCAACATATAAAGGGAACTTAAACAAAAGACAGAGAGAGACTTTTTACCTGTAGTGACAGGCCATGAAGCAACGATTTTAAAGAGGGTAGATTTGCATTGATATAAGGAATAAATACTTTACAATGAGGGTGATGAGACACTGGCACAAGTTGCCCAGAGGAGCTGTGGGTGCCCCATCCTTGCCAGTGTTCAAGGCCAGGCTGGATGGGGCTTTGAGCAACCTGGTCTAGTGGAAGGCTTCTCTGCATATGGCAGCAGGGATAGGACTAGATGGTCTTTAAGGTCTCTTCCAACTCAAATATTCTGTGATTCTATCACCTCTGGAGGTCATCTGCTCCAACCCTCCTGCTCAAGCAGGGCTACCTAGAACCGGTTGTCCAGGACTATGTCCAGACAGCTTTTGAATGTCTCCACGGACAAGGACTGCACAACCTCTTTGGGCAACCAGTGCCAGTGTTTGGTGCCACTCACAATAAGAAAGTGTTTCCTGATGTTCAGAGGGACCCTCCTGTGCTACAGTTTGTGCCCATTGCCTCTGGTCCCGTCATGGGGCAGCACTGGAAAGCGCCTCACTCTGCTTTGTACCCTCCCTTCAAGTGTTTATATGCGTTAATAAATTTTCCTCCAAACCTTTTCTTCTCCAGGCTAAACCAACACAGCCCTCTCAGCCTTCCCTCACAGGGAGGCTGCTTCAGTCCCTTTGTCATCTTCATGGTCCTTCACTGGACTCTCTCCAGTACGTCCGTGTCTTTCTTGTACTGGTGAGCCTAGCACTGGACCCAGGTGTTATCTCACCAGTGCTAAGCAGAGGGGAAGGATTACCTCTCTAAACCTGCTGGCAGCACTTCGAATACAGCCCAGGATGCCATAAGCTTTCTTCTCCACAAGGGCATGCTCTTGGCTCATGGTAAATTTGGTGTCCAGCAGATCCATAATTCTTTTCTGCAAGGCTGCTTTCCAGCTGGTCAGTCCCCAGCATATACTGGTGCATGAGGTTGTTCCTTTCCGGTTACAGGACTTTGCACTTCTCCTTACTGAACTTAATGATGGTCTCATTCAGCAGAGGGCCTACATTTTCCCTACATTTTTCCCTTTCTTTGTCACCTGTGTGCTTGTAGAAGCCATCCTTTTTGCCTTTGATGCCCCCCTCACCAGATTCAATTCCTTTCAGGCTTTGGCTTTCCTAACCTTATCCCTGCATGCTCAGACAGTGTTTCTGTGTTCCTTCCAGGCTACCTGTCCCTGCTTCCACTCTCTGTATTCTTCCTATTTGTGTTTTAGTTTTGCCAGGATAAACTTGTTCATCCATGTAGGTCTCCTTGAATTCCTGCCTGACTTCCTACTTGTTGGATAGGCTCCTGAGTTTGGAAGAGGTAATCCTTGAATATTAACCAACTTTCTTGGGGTTCTGTTCCCTCTAGAACCTTATCCCATGGGACCCTTTTCAGTCAGAAAACTCATCTTTGCAGAGGCCAGACTCTGCTTTCCTGAAGTCCAGGACTGTGAGATTGCTTTTTACCCGCCTCCCTCTCCTCAGCATCCTGAAGAAGATACACCAGACACAGTTACTTATGTTTAGAAAATCATCCATTCTGAAAGACAATTAATATGCAACACCAAAAATATGTGGTTGCCATTACATCGGTGTCCTGGGTTCAGGATACCTGATAACACATCAATGGTTTAAGTTGTAATCATTACTTAGCAACAACTAAAACTATTAGGGTGTTATCAGCATTGTTCTCAGGCTAAAGTCGAAAACACAACACTGTACCCATTACTAACAAGGAGAAAAATGACTGCTAATGCTGAACCCAGGAAAATTGGAAAATTCCATTCCCAGTTCAGCAATTAATATTTTTCTGAATACCATCACAGCATTCCAGCTATCAATGCTGCCATTCATGTCACATGCATTGAGTGTGTAGCGATTATGGCACATATCCATCCTTCCATACACTGAGATACATTAGGTAAAGAGATAACATATTCTATGTTAGCTAAAGACTAATAGCCATCAGATGGCATTCTTGCAAGAATCCTTCTCCCTGCATGAGTGAAATGGCGATTATGGTAATAACATAATGTTTATAAAAACTCATGTAACACTGACTTACAGGCATTCTTAGAAGATCATAGTATTGCATGTAAAGCAAACCAAACATTGTCTGGAAGTAAAATTTGAACATATCTAAAATTCATCTATTATACCCAGTCACGAAGAGGACAAGGGTGCCAAGTAATGCTTCACTGCCGAGTAGTGAACAAGGGAGACACACATTTTTGAGTAGTAAAAGAGAGAAGACTGCCTTAGAGTTTTAAAATAATACAGAATAGCTGAAAAAAGTGAGTGTGCTGAAGAGAGGGCTGGAAATAGTTAAGAACTATGAGAGGTCAGCATAGATGGATATACATGAAATTCCAAACAGAGTGACAAGAAGTGGTCCCAAAGGCCTTTACACTTCTGATTTCTTTGGCTGTAAGTAATGCTCAAGATTGTCAGCATTGCTTAAGTAGAGGTTTCTGAACTAGAACACTAAGACTAATATCTTGTCTCTGATTCATAGATATTTGTTAATACTGGTTCTTTTTATCTGCAAAGGTTTTCTGTATCATTTCCATTTTTTTTGTGTGAATACACTAGGAAGAAAGGATGGACTCTGCTCTGAATTTGTATTAAACATTATTTTACACCCCTTCTTTGAAAATCTGAACATCAAAGTCTTCATCCTCTTCCAGTTCTTTTTCTGTTGATAATCTTTTTAGATCAGATGGACTGCTGCCTTCTCACAAATCCAGGGATGTTTCTCATAACAATTCTCACTGTAAACTGTTGACCTATGATAAAATAGGTATGCACAGTTTTGCTTAAAGGACAAATCAATCCTAGAAAACAAACAAACAAACAAAACAACAGACCATCTTGTTAAAAATTCCCATGTACACACGTTTAAAAAAACATAAAGCCCTTTTGGACAATTATACATTATTGCAAAAATTTCTTAGCCATTTTAAGATTTATAAAAGTTTATATGCGATATTGAAGGTCATAATAGCTTGTATAATTCAAGTCTGAAGGATCTCTGGCAGTGTTCAAGGCGGGACGGAGCCTTGGGTGACATGGTCTAGTGTGAGGCATTCCTGCCCATGGCAGAGGGTTGGAGCTAGATGTTCTTAAGGTCCTTTCCAATACTAACCATTCTAGGATTCTATGATTCTATTATCATTCTTTCACCTGCCTTCAGCTCTAAGATGTAAAAAAGAAAGCCTATGTATGTACCATCGTATCATCAAAACAGAAAATAGTACTAGTTCCTCACAGTAGCTGCCCGTCCAACTATTGCTTCATATAGTGATAATTTGGGTCTGGAAACTGAAAGGCAGTGGTCTACCGAAATAGAAGTCAGATCATTCTGCCTGATGTTTACTAGTTTTGGGAAGTGTAAGAGTTTGCAAGAAAAATGAGCATGTATTTCCAAAGAGACACTGGAGAATCTTCACTTGAAAAAGGTTCTCCAGATCCTGAAGAAGACTCTCACATTATTGCATACAGTGATTATTTCACACAGAGCATAATGGGATTTCCCCCCAACCCCACCCCCCCATTGGTTAGTAAAGGAGAAATGCACCAAGTAAGTTAATGATATTTTACAAAACAAAGTAAAAACGGGTTTGCGCCACCTAATGTTGACTTTTTTGTGTGTAATAAGGGTTTCAAAATGTTGGTGGCTGAGCAGAAGAGGCAGGTGTAGGCAGGCTTTGCAGGAGTTAGGCTGTCTTGAAGGAAGTGTGGGTTGCTTCCTATAGAGTCATGAAATATTTCATAAAATGAATGCTTTTAAATTGTGAGATCAGTCAGTGGCTGCAGTGGTTTTGACTCCTTGTCCTGCTCACAATTCTAGTTTTCTAAGACTCATTGTCTGTTTCAGGGGGTATCATGATTTAACCCCAGCCAGCAACCGAGTACCACAGAGTGGCTTGCTCACTCACGCATCCCACAGTGGGATGGGGGAGATGATCTGAAAAGTAAAACTGAGGAAACTTAGGGGTTGAGATGAAGACTGCTAAATAGGTAAAGCAAAAACCATACACATAAGAAAGCAAAACAAATTCCATAACTCCTTCTTCTTCCCCCAGCTTTATATGCTGAGCATGACATCAGCTGGGGTTAATTGTCCCATCTGTGTCCTCTCCCAACTTCTTGTGCACCCCAGCCCATTCACTGGTAGGTGAGGTGAGAAACAGAAAAGGCCTTGACTCTGTGCAAGCACTGCTCAGCAATAACAAAAATATCCCTGTATTATCAACACTGTTTCCAGCACAGATCAAAACCACAGCTTCATACTAGCTACTATGAAGAAAATTGACTCGATTCCAGCCAAAACCAGCACAGGGACTCCAACCAGAATGAGTTATTTTAACTCCAAATATATCTGCAGCTGTACTCTGCCTTGAAGCTTTGCTGTTAGTGGGATTTTCGTTTCTTCCTCCTTCAGTGCACAGGGAGGATATTATGCAAGAAAAGATGAAAAACCACCATCTGTTTAAGTTCAGAAAATTTACCAGTCCATTCTCTTTGTAGAAAGTTTTGATCCATCCACCCAAGACCAGCCATCAACTCCATATGATAATCCAATCCAGTAAGACTGTTTCAGTAATATTTGAGATATAAAAAATGCAAAACCTTTATCACCAAGAAGCATGAAGGTAGTTTTCTTTGTTGTACCTAAACAACTACTGTTAAGACAGGAAATGATCAAGAAAGAATCAAAGGCGGTAATTTGACAATGACTTTCTGAACAACTCATCAGGCCCTCATAATTCTTTCCAGGAGAAAATATCTCTATTTGGCATGCATCTCTGTTTGGAATGTTTTGTGTCTGACATCTCTACTAAATGTAAGACCAGGGCAGCAATTCTTTTACAGCCCTCTCTCTCAGAGTATTCAAAGAGATTTCCTGAATGAAAAATGTACTCCTTATAACCGTCACAGGATCCACGATGCTCATGTTCACTGTTTGGCTGAGTAATATCCTGTGTTGCTAGTTACCTCCTCATTACACATTTGTGGTTAAACATTCTGCAGTCTGCATTGCCTCAGACCTTGCTAACAGTACCTCTATTACTATGTAACATCAAGAGATACTTGCTGACTGGCAAGGAGTTTGGAGTAGTTGATGCCAATGCAGAGAAATGCCAGTGTGATTGGAACCATACCAACTTGATTTTCATTTGCAGCGTAAGAAGGGCGGCATTCTGGGAGAAGCAAAAGTCTTCACTTTCCTGCCATGTGGCCTTCTTTTCTGAAAAGTAGAAGCAGGTGTTGCCTCCAACCCATTTCCAGTTTGCAGGGCAGAGAGTACATGCAGAGTACATGCGGAGAGTGTATCTTTCTAGAACAGAAAGAAACCATCACTTGCTTATAGTCAAAAGCAGAATGGAGAAGTCTACACCCATAGGCCCGAAAAATTAAGTTATGCAGAACTGAAATGTATATGGCACATTATTTTTTTAAACCCATTAGTTAATCTGATACAGCATAAAACGTCCTTGTTTTATCTGATATAAGGCCTAATACCTAGATTTCAGGCTGTGTGAGCAGTAGTTCTATTTACTATTGTTCTTACTGTTGTCATCACCCATCAAGCACAATTTCTCTTTTAGTCCTTGCAAGTTTTCATTTTGTCCCGCAGGTGCCTTAGAACCTCTGAGACCTGGAGTTTATAAAGATATTCTTCATGAGACAAAAAAGCTGTGACATTGCTCCTGCATGATACATGCTTCATCATATATTGCAAATTCACTTTCTGCAACAGCGTGCTCACATGCAAGTCTGATGCAACAGTGTCTCATATTGTGAGATTAGCAGATCAGAAAATGATGAATAAAAACATTTCCAAATTTTAAGTGCAGTTTAATTACAGTGCCATTGCAGATCACTTGGTCATCTAATAAAGGACTAAAATAATGCAAAAAATACGCTTAGGAAGAATCATCTTGAACTGATGGTGTTGGTCTGAAAGGAAGTTTTATAAGATTTTGAAAAAAAATAGAATTCTAAACATTCTTCACGTTGAAAAAGCCTTTTACTATTAAAGGCTTGTAAAACTTCTGAAGAAAGCGGGGAGCATTTTTTCATATAATTTCCTCAACAGCATTTCACACTGGCTTCCAGTAGCAGCACCTAGAATTACTATCTCCAGGCTCCATGGTAGAAAGCATAGGTACAGTCATGTCGCACATTAGAAAAGCTAATATAAATATGAGTGTCTTTTTGTGATGACTGAGTGAAACAGACAGAAAAACTGAGATTTCCTCATGAATCTGAGTGCTAAAAGTGTGCCCATTTTTGATGTACTACTATGAATTAATTTAAGTAGTCCACAAACATGTAAGGTTCATCAAAGGAATGACAAAAGAACTGCTCTTGCAGTAGAGTAGGGAGACTCAAACAACAAGAGAAGAGGTGAAGGGGAACTACAGACTGATTTATGACAGTCGACATCAGAATTTTATAACTGAATTTGAATTAGCAAATAAATGAGTAATAGATGGATGAGGACAGAATCCATTCCTCCCACTTCTTCCAAAATATATCATCTTGACTTCTATATCCTTGCTCTGAGCATAGGTCCAGACTTAAAAATATTGCTTCCCTCAGAGCCTTACGTGCACCCCAGCTGCAGAGTGTTCATCATAGGCAACTAGGAGGAGAAGAAAGGACTGTGTATGTGGGGAGAATGAGCTATGTCTGTCCTTGTAACAGTCAACCACCTTTCTTCTTTCAGTTGAAGGTGTTAACATGATGTCCTGGTGTAGCAGTCAGTTTTCATGAAAAATGGACACATGAATAAAGGAACACAGTATATTTGAGCACTTACCTAAGATTATCATTCCTATGGTGAGGGCCAGGCACAGCACAAACAAAGTAAAGATATCTGGCCACCATACAGCAAAAGGAAGAGAGTGCCCTGGGAGAAACCAACAATTTATCCAAGAGCAGGTACCCATTTCGGCAGCACTCCCAACACTCCACCCCTTCATGAAAAGCCATATGGTGACTCTTGAAAGAGTTCCCCTTCCAGGCTGTATATTTTAAGGATCAACCCAAATGCAAGCTCAGAAGATGTGGTGCCTCTGTTAAAGATACCTCTTTGAAAGAAGACACTAGACACGGTTTAAATGGAAGAGGTAGGGGATTGCTTGTCTTTGACAAATGTTGAAACTGTGAAACACTGTAGTTATCCTTTGCCTTAGAAGTAGATGATGATGCTGTTCTCCTTTGGTAGTACTCTGTTACTGTGCTTTGTCAGAACAGAGTAAGGATGGTTTGCATACCATCTTTACCATCTACACTTTGCAGAAATCCTTCCTGCTCTGAGGGCACACAGTGCTCACTTTGCATGCCAGCACTAGGCTGAAGCCCAGTTCAGGAAAATTCTGGAGTACAAAATATCCACTGAGGTTTCCCTGGGTTCAAGTTCCCGAGAGTTACCATCACCAAACAACCATGGCAATGAGGTATGATGGACCTTTAGATAAAGAAATATTTAACTCAAGACCGGATGCTCTCTTGAAGTACATGGCCTAGTGTGAGGTGTCCCTGCCCACGCCAAGGAATTGGAACTAGATGATCTTAAGGTCCTTTCCAACCCTAACTGTTCTATAATTCTGTGATTTAGCCCAAGTGGACCTGTGGGACTTGAAGAAGGGAAATGACATAACAGGCCTGATGCTGCCTCATCCCTTCCAGCCTTAAGCATTTTCTGTCACATTAAGGTTCAGAGGTCAAAAAGTAAAGGGTGTTTTTTTTTCTATTAAAGTCAGATTGCCCTGTGTCTACAGCCATTTCCTGTAACAATAAATAAACAATAAATAAAACTAACCACATAAAGCTTATGCCTACATTCTAGAGTTTGATCCTGCAGCCACCTCTCTTTTCCTACAGAAATTCAAGGCAAGTAATGGCAGTAGTTCCACTCTGCACTTTCACATTCATGCATGCTGGGTTTTGTCAGACAAAACCACGCCAAATAACGCATAAAATCTATAACATTAAACACATAAGTATGTTACTTACTGACCTAGACAAAATAAACTGTTCCTACTGTTGTTGTCATAGTGCAGAAAGTTCAAAGAGCAAGCATCAGTTGTACCTTTGTTGATGTTCAGGGGCATGTAGCCTCTGGCTAGGTTCTGTGGCAGGTGATATAAATTAGAGTATCCGCCCTCTTCGTCTGTATTCATAGGCACGGTCTGGGAACTCATTCGAGGTTCAGTAATGATCCTCTTAAAAGACAGACTGAATGATTTGTGAAGAAGCAAAAGAAAAAGCAGAAGGAGGGTGGGAATAGGAGGACTCACACTTTACATGTCTTAAGGCAAGATACTAGTATTCAAATGTTGTATATGACTTTTCAATTGTTGCATGTAACTTCTCCTTTCCCTCCCTCAGGGGAAGAACTCTCTTCCCACCCATCATGTCTTAGTCTGGGTCTCCATCCCCACTTCTAAAGACATGCAGGGATGACATGAGTCACAGCATATGTACAGCGTGGCAGTTCCCCTCTTTTCCATTTAACCTTCCCATGACTTTCATCTCCTTTGAACTTTTCACATTCAAAACTGAAACAAACACCTTCAATTCATCTCAGAGGTAGACTAACTTCAGCTCTGTGCCTTTTTGATTATTCAGTGTTAAGGGCTATAAAATTAAATCTTTCCATGATTCTGTGATCTATGAGTATGATCTATGAGGGGAGAATGCACACAGTAACAATAGTAGACCACCCAAAACTGCTTTATCTGTTCCACATTTCTGTGACTTGGAAAGAAAAATTTAGGATGTGAGAAACAGACTGGATGCTGCTTTATTTAGTAACTGAAATTCTCTGCACCACTCAATTGCAATAGGAGCCCATTTTTTTCTTGCAAAGCTTGGTTCACAGTTTGTTGGCCTTTCTGCACAGTGCTGTGTACTCTTCCCTTTTTCCTCTGGAAATTCCCCTACGAGGAGAACATAGGATGCATCGAAGTCATGATGTCAAGAGAGAAGTCTCTGAGAGGTTGGCACCTCTCCTGCTGCCTCAGATGTTTCAGATGAGTGGAGGCTTATTTAATTTAACACAAAACAAATGCAAAAACTGACCAAGTGAAGGCAGGTACGGCATGAAAGACCATGCTCTATGGACAAACTGATAGCAGTTGAAAGATCCTGTTAAGGACAAAAGTTTCTGTGGGAAAGACGAGTCAGGCTTAGGGTGATGTGAATCTGTAGGGTAGTAGTGAGGTTGTGTAGCTGGACACTTGTCATTAGAGATGCATGAGCCAGAGCTGAGAACTGTGTCAAAAGTTCAGGCACCCCCAAGAAAAGATGCATGATTGAACCATGGTGTCTTAAGACTTATGCCCTAAGTGCTGTTGTTTAAAAGGAACCTCTGGAACTCAAATGGTTCAACCACCTACTTAAAGCTGGGGCAGCACTGAACTCTGATGAGCTTGATCAAAGACTTATCCAAGTCAAGCTCATGCAGTCTCCAAGGACAAAGATCTCCCAAACTCTCTGGTGCCTGAGAGCACTCAACAGATAGGCAGTGGGCAGATAGTTTTTGGTTGAAAAGTAAGAGTGGATTGCCATGTGGGTGGAACGATTCTGGACCACAACATCTGTAGGTGATGCCCAGCTCCATCTTTCTGTCCTGGCACCTTAGATGTGGGAGCAGGGGCTGGATGTTTGCACTTTGGGAGCTGGTTTCTGGGACGCCTGAGTGCACTGTCCAGATAGGCAGTATTGCAGATGGAGTTTTAGGTGACAATGCAAGGGTGGATTGCCATACTGGTGGCACTGTTCCTGAGGTCACCATGCGTAGGTGATGTTGAGCACCAGCTAGAAAGCTAGAAAGTCCAGGAGCTTGTATGCTCATAACAAGGAGATGAAGGACATTGGGAATGAGAGAGGATGCAGTCTGTGCAAGGCATGGAGCAGGGCGTGTAGTGAAGGATGTGAAGAGGACTTGTGCAGCAAGTGTGTTTGGTTCAACTTTTTTATTTCAGAACCTGCCTTCCTGACACCCTGACACTCTGCTTTTTCCTCTGTCGCAGCTGACATTTAGCATCCTCCCATTTCACTATCTTGGTTGTTCCATTGAAGATGGGCAAATTTGAAGCTGTCATGCTCTTTCCACTTCAAAACGTCACTGCAGGGCTCATTCTCCGAATGTACCCCTTTATTCACTCCGCCCCTATTTTCTTCACTGTCCATGTCCTGTTTGAAGGGATGTTGAAGCCAACAACTGCTCTTTAGTTCCCAAACCTTTCAAGATTTATGATGTCTTAAGTTCTACCATGGGTTTTACTCTCACGCTTAGTATACAATACTAGGTTTTATTTTCCATGCAAAATGAGCTTCAAATGAACCGCTTTTCTGAACTGCATGAAGGGATGTGGACCTTCCCTATCCCCAAAGATACTGAAACTCATAGAGCATATTGCTTCTTGGACTCCATAAATGTGGAGTCAGGAGGCCTTTGACAGCTTCTGAGATAGATGGCAGACTGGATGAAATAATTGATTTGCTTGAGTTTAAATTACTAGATAATATAAATTCATCCCTCTGAAACAGGCCACTGTTAACAGGGGAAAAACCCTTTCCAAGCTGCTAGGGGCCAAGATATGGGCTAAGACCAAATGGAGCTTACTCTACAAAGATATAGAAATAGATTATAAAGATCATCCAGCCAAAGAAATGTACCCTGCAAGTTATCACCACTGGCTTGACCTTCCTGATCCCTAAAAAGCGAATGCTACCCCCAAAGGCACACCAAGCAGCCAGCAGGAAACCCAAAGTCTAACATTTGTTTTCACAAACCATATAACAAAGGCATATAGCAGATGACTGCTAGAAAAAAAAATCCAAGTGTTAGTTTGTGGGAAGAAAAAGGAGTAAAATGTGGCAGTCTAGAATTATTTTTTTCAGCTTGAATGGGTTGAAAGAGATGGAACATTGTATTTTACTTGAACTGTACCTTGCACTTCCTGCTGCAATTGTAAGGAATTCCAGGTAGTTCAACTGGTAATTATGCCCATGAATTATGACTTGGCTTTGCTGAGTATTGTGAGTGTGTTCAGTTCACAAACACCAGTAGTATGCCCTTATGGCCAGGAGGCCAATATTATCCTGGGATGTATCAGGAGGAGTGTGCCCAGAAAGTCGAGAGAGGGGATCATCCCCCTCTACTGACCCTGAAGCACTGGGCTTCAGTCCAGTGCTGGGCTCCTCAGTACAAGAAAGACAAGCAGCTACTGGAGAGGGTCCAGCAGAGGCCACAAGGATAATCAGAGGCCTGGAGCATCTCTCTTATGAGGAGAGATTGTGGGAGCTGGGTGGGTTTAGTCTAGAGAAGAGCAGACTGAGAATGGATCTTGTTAATGCATATAAATATCTGAAAAGCAGGTGCCAAGAAGATGGTGCCAGACTCTTTTCAGTGGTGCCCAGCAACTTTATGGCCATAAATGACAAGAAATTTCACCTCAACATGTGGAAGAACTTCTTTATATTGAGGGTGGCAGAGCACTGGAACAGGCTGCATAGGGTTGCTGTGGAGCCTCCCTCTTTGGAGGCATTCCAAACCTACCTGGGCACATTCCTGTGTAACCTGCTCTGAGTGGCCCTGCCTTGGCAGAGGGGTTGGACGGGAGGTCTTTTCCAGCCCTAACGATTCTGTGATTCTGTGATTCTATGATATTTTAGCACATTAGGAACAAGGGTTCATTTTTATACCAAGGACCTGCTTCAGTCTGCAAGAATATTTTCCAAGGAAATATTGAATATTAAAAACATACTATCATTTTTTCACTTATTTTAAGGAAAGTCTCCAAATACTAAGGCACATGCACACAATACAAGGTATATATATAAAAGGAATATACGCATATGAAACACAAAACAGATGCTGGCATACAACTTCAAGGAACTCATACAATGAAACTCCACCCAGAAAATTGGAGGCATCATCTTCCTTCAAGAAGTATGACAAGTGCTTTAATAACACATGATGCACAGTGTGTACCTTGGGGTCCAGAGGTCCCAAGCAGTGTAGACATAATACAAGAGCTCAAGTGTGCCAGCTCAAGTGTGGCAATGGATTCTGCATCAGTTTGAATACAAATTGTATGTAGTTCTCAATGGAGCACATAATTAATATTCTTACTGTTATTTGCATAGCAATTAATAATATGATAGCACTGAAGTTATTCAGGTAATATTTTAATCCAAATGTGACATTTGACTCTGCTTTTTGAAGAGATTGCTTCCAGGGATTCCCTGTAGTCTTCTCACAAATATCCTTTAAATTTTATAAATATTAATGCATATATGAATATATTTTTATGCATAAATAGAGATTTGGGTTCTTTCTGTATCCCTGTAACTCAACCAGGGTAACAGCTGGCAGAATAGATTTAGGAAAGAAGGCATGCCTGGGCAAATTGCCCTAGAAGAGGATTACGTGTGGACAGTAGTTAGTGCGTACATTAAGAAAGTCTGCAAGAAAAACCATCAAGGATGTGGTTGGTTTGGTTCGTGCCTGGCAGGTGTTAGTGTAAAATGCTGACTGAAGCTCAAAAATATAAAGCTCTGCAAAAATTTGTGGTTGTCAACTTAGCCACGCAAGAATCACTGCTTGACTGTAGCTAGTATTTCTAGCTTTATAGGTTGTTTTTCTTTTTTCCTCTCCGATTTGTAAACCTGGGAGGGAAAATGCAGACAAAGAGGAAGACTTAGTCTCTAATAACACATCCATTTGAATCACCATTCTGAGAAAACTTCATGATAAACAAAAATGAAAATATATATAAAACTTCCAGTTCCTGAAGTGGGTATCTCACAGTGGCAGATCCCACATCCCTTCTTGCACTGCTTCTTCAGGTGAAATGAACAGCCACTTTCTCACAGATCCAGAATTGCTGTGTTGAACAGGAGTGGCTGGCATAAATGATCCGTCCGTATAAGGAGGCACAGAAGATGCTGTCATATAACAAAACCCTAGAAAGTTAAAAAATATGTCTTAATGACGTCCTGGTAATATCACGTGATTGATATTTAGATCATTCGTAATCATTTTCCACTGGAATGTAGAGTTATTTCCCCCTTGGAGATACTTTATTTGTGCTAGGTGGTCCTTTCATCATCTTCATGTGATGGAGCTGTACTTTGCCACCCATTGTTCCTTACACAGGACATGAATCTGAAGCTCCATAGCAGATACTATAGTCTCCATGGTCCTTCATCATTGCACATGTGACAAACATGAGCAAGTAAAAGGAAGCACAAGTCTCATATAATTTACTGGGGCACACAGGGTAGAACTGCACTGGTCCTAAACTATGAAGGCTTACCAATTTGTTGCTTCTTTTGAAAAAGCTGTTCCATCCTCCCAGTACCAGCCACTCCTTTCAGATATGTACGATAATCCAACCCAGTAAAACTGTGAATCCTGTGGCAGAGAAACCTGTACGTATGAGAAAATAATCACAATAATATTTCAAAAATGAGACCTAAGTTCCTGTGTCTTCTTGAAGGTTCTGCAACCAAAGGAGGTAACTCTTACTCAATAGGAAAGTGATCTGTTCTCCATGCTTGTTTTCTCTGAGGCAGTACTGACTGCTCTAATTATAGGATCATTTAAATACCATTGTTTATTGAATTGCCACAAGAGAAATGTACAGTAAATGAGAAAAAGAGAAATGATCTGTAAAACCACTGCTTTTTAAAAGAAAACAAAAACCTGGTCTGCCTTTAGGTATCTACACTGCGTTTAGACATCTGCAATTTAGATATACTTATGAGAACACTATTTAAGCTCCAATTGGAGTCAGCAGAGACGAGGCCAAGTGGAGCATGACAACTGACCCACCTCACCCAGCGGGAGTGCTACTGAGCACTTACTATAGGTCAGAGCTCCCACTGGCTGTTAACAGAGCCTGAGGAAGTAGCTCTGAAGTGGCAGGCCACTTATGCTGTAGATGCCTGAAGTTAGGTGAGATAATTCCCAACCTAGAGGGCACAGTCTGTGACCTAAACACAGGCCTCTCAGACCTTTTGAGATTCTCCAACTGGTCTGAGGTCTTTACGTAAGGCTGGCAGACAGGACCGAGAACCTATGGGAGAACTGTGCCTTGCTGAGGCATTGTTTGGAGGTTGAACAGGTAATTTCAGATTGCCCTAGAAACCTGTGCTTAGGCTCTGGGATAATTCCATAGGCATCTAACTGCTACCTAAAAGATTCCTCAGCATTTTAGCCCTTTCGTATCATCCAACTACTCTACTGCTGCTTAGTAGCATGTCTAGGTACTCATCCAAAATCTAAAATACACAGCTGGCTTAAACTGCTCTGGCCTCAGCCTGACTGCAGCTGCCTATACCAAACAAGGAAGAAAAAATAAGCATTCAGACATCTGGAATGAAACTATCCAGGGATATATATAGCACATCAAAACAATCTGTTGAATTCAACATTGAAGGTGTGGTGTTCAGGTGTCTCTCAACAGTGGAAACCATGATTCTAACCTCAGGATGCTGCTAAACACAATAATAAATCATTTGTCCACTTTCTATTTTGTGTCTGATTTGATTTTCACTTCAATCTCATCTGTTTTTCATTTAAAAAAAAAATAATCCAAAAACCTGTCCTTTATGCCTTAATAATTGAGAACTCCAGTCTGAAACAAACTCCATCTGGAAAAAGGAGACAGATTTTCAGGGAAGCTTGTTTTCTTTTCAAAGTTTTATGTAGCAAAAAAGAAAAAATAAGTTTATTTGTTTTTTTTGTAAGCTTAATATATTTTGTAAAAAAGTTTCTAGATATATGTGTACAAAAAAGGAAAATATGATCTTAACAGCAAATTAGAGATTTTTCATTAGTTATCAAAAACAACCCCAAATTAGTAAGACTACTTAAAATTAGTAATTCCCTAAAGTCCAAGGCTGTCTAGTCTTTGTGCTACCATTAACAGCACTCTGTGAGGGTATAACACAAGGCCAGAAAACAACCTTTTATAGCCATTTTGCACTGCAGCATGCAAATGGTAGTACTATGGTGAATCAGACACTCTCTAGATTTCATGGTAGGTGTGAATTTGATGTTGGGAGCCTTCAGTAATAAAACTGGTGGAAAAAGAGAATGAAAATATGCATTCTGTGTGCTGAGTCTCTCTCCTCCATGCTGATAATATAAAATTTATTTTCTCTGTGAAAACCGAAGTATTAGCTAACAAAGGTACTTTCTGCAATGGCTTATTCTATTTACTGTAATGCGTAATTTTCACAGCACACAATTTAGAAAGTGTTGCAAGTCATGACAATGTTGTGACTTGCAGGAAGGTTGCTTGACCAGGGAAACTTGAACACATGCACTGTAAATGACCCAACTACTTTCTGCCTGTGTGAAAACACATCACATGAAGAAATGCATGAGGTTAAAAGCATAAAAAAAGATGTACCATCTTTGCTTTGTCTTTTAGCACAAGAAGAGTGGAGTTTCTTGAGGTACAGAACTCTTGACTTTGCTTCCATGTTTTCTTCTGCTTTGAAATGTAGAAGCAGTTGTCAGCTCCACTGTTTTGCCAGCTTGCTGGACAGAGGGCACATTTTGTTTCTAGAAATCAGAAAGAGTATTATAGAGACTTTGCGAGGCATACAGGGCTTTAGCTACTGGCTTGACTGAGGAAAGATTAAGGGGAGCCATGAATCAGCTAAGCTCTTGAGGGCCAAGAGATAAATTGTTTTGCATATTAGTGTATACATATCCACACCTCAAATACTACCACAGTTAAAACCAGACATGAACCAGTCAGATTTCTTTCCTGTGGTGTCTCAGACAATGGGCTCTGTAAAGGGGGTGATTTGTGTTTATTTACATAACAACCACATTTACCATTCTTCTCCTTTCCTTCAAAACATAACGCTTCCCTCATTTCCTGTAGCTTCTTTCCTTCCTCAGGATCCTTGGAAACCTGAAAAACTGAAGGGTATGAAAGTGCTTATCAAAGATTGGTTTTATAAAAATTGTAGCTTTAATTGCAGCTTTAGTTTGTAGCTTTTGACTTTTTTTTTTCTTTTTGTCTACTTTATTTGTACATCCACCATCATGTTTACACTATCCACATTTTCTTAACCAGGAGGCTTGTGCAGCACTGGAAAAGGTCACCTGAGAAGGTGGGGGCATCTCCACCCTTGAAGTTTTTCAAAGATCATCTAGACAAAGCTACAGGTAAGTTGTTGATAGTCCAGCTTTGTATGGTGGGGAAGAAAGGGATGGTGTCAGAGTAGAAACCTGAAGAATTGCCTCTGAGCTAACATTGCTGTGATGCCATGGACCACCTTGAGTATTCGTTCTGGGCACCTGGAACTGCTTCCCTCCTGCCAAAAAGGAGACAAGGATTATCTGTCTCTGCTTCCAAATGTATTGGCATCATATTTGGTTTTTCATTGAAATGCTGCTGTGGAAAATCTGCTGTAATTGTGGACAAATGGACCAGTCACAGTGTTTCGATGCCAGAATTGCCCTCCTTGTAAAAAGCTTGGAATCCAAGAAAAAAGAGAGTAGCTGTGAAATATTCCAGTAACAGTCACAGTGATGCGTGGATTGACTCCACAACTCGTTACAGTTGTAAAGTAGGTATGCTTTTTATTCAGCGCTGAGACGCACGGGGATAATTCCTCAAAGTCATGAGTGCCTCAGTGTTGTTTCCCTCTACATTTATCCTCTAAAGTTATATATATTCATAAGGTTGCAGAACACGCCTATATGTATTCATGTCCTATCCCCGCTTCGTATTATAATGAGCCAGAAGGTCCTCTGCGACTGCGCAGTGCCCCCTTTGGTCATGGGCAGGGCTCTCAAGACGAAGTAACTGAGTCTTCCTCCTCTGCGTAGGGGTCTTCAAGATGAAGTAAATGAGTCTTCCTCTTCTTGCACTTTTCACCTTTTTAGTCTTCACGTATGGCCTTAGAGTTTGGTCTCAGCCATAAATCATCTGCTTCTCCCTCTTACCAGTAGATTCAGGCGTCTGCTTTTCCTTATCAATAGGACCGGGTACCTGCTTTCCTTATAAATAGGACCAGATGTCTCTGTTCTGCTTAGCAGGCGTTTACAACAGACAATACTTTTGTTTAAGCAAGCAAATTCCTCTAACCCCCCTTGTACAACCCCCCTGTACAACCCCCTTGTACAACCCCCCTGTACATTGGTCAACCCTCTGCATCAACAGGGGGTGAGGGAAGCGCCACTACCCTGATTGTGTAGCTAATGAGGTGAGCTACTACTGTGGAAAATAAACATTTCAGATATGGGTTAGGATTAAGGGTTAGGGGTTAGATTTAGGGTTAGGGTTAGTCAGTGGTTAGGGTTTAGGGTGAAGGTTAGGGTTAGGCTTAGAGGTGTGGGTTAAGGTGAAGGTTGGGGTTAGGATTAGGAGAAGGTTTAGGGTCGCAATGATTAGACTTAGACATTAGGTGTTACTGTTGGGGTTATGTTTATGGTTATAGTTTAGGATTACACTTGGGGTTCATTTTAAGGGTTAGGTTTATGCTTAGGGATAGGGTTCGGAATGATCTTTAATGTTAGGGTAATTGTGTTTAGGATTAAGATTAGGGTTAATTTTAGGGTTAAGGTTAGTTAGGTTTAGGACTTGCATTAGGATAGTGTGACCCTTATAGTTAAGGTAACTATAAGTGCAGAGAGTAGTGATCCTGAGTGACCTGTGCTGACACTCAGCCGTGGGGGTACTTCTGTGGGAGAGCTGCACTGTTGCCCTTCTTGCCTTATAATTTTCACTGAGGAAACGGACAGTCTGCAGGGAGAGAATAAGCAGCCATACGTCTGGAATTCACTCGCACAGCAGCATCTTGAGACACCTTTGTACTTACACAGGGCCAGCAGGGCTACCAGCCCCAGCAGCAGCACCAGGCATGAAGTGAGGAAAGCAAAGGCCACTGGCCGCCATATAGAAGATGAGTCAGAGGCTCCTGGGACAAACAGTAAACACATTCAGCAACAAAACTAACAGCTCTTATCTCCATTCAGTGGTGTAACCTCCTCTCTAGCAACACCAGCTCATCTTGAAACAAGGAGGCACAAAAGTATAAAATGTAATCAGTTCTAAGTAATGTTAAGTTTGGTGGATTTGTTATGGAAAATAACTGCAGCGCTTGAAGGTAACTGACATAGTTTCAGGCCCTCAGGACCTCTGTACAAAAGGTGTGAGAAAGGCAGAATAGAAGGACAGGACCTGGGAATGGGGAGTATCTGGGGCTAGCAGTAACCAGGGTGGGCACAGATAAACTAACTGGTAAGTAAAAGGACAGGCTGATTACTATGCTTAATAACCCATTAAGCTGGTGTAAGCATCTACTAGGGAGTATCAGGGACTAGCAGATGTCCAGGATGAGAGCAGTTAAACTAACTGGTAAGTAGAAGGCCAAGATGATTGCTATGTCTGTAATGTTAATTAAGCTTGTTGGGAAAAGTAAACGACCCTTAAAGACCACCACATTTTTGTATGCATGCCGGAAACTTCTTAGAAAATGATGTAATATGCTCAGTGACCATATAAGGATGATCTGTATAGCAATTTGGGTTAGGAGGAGCTATCCCCCGCGTTTCCCAGCGCCTCAATAAAGAATACCTGCTTGTCAACTTGAAACTCCGCTGGCAAGTTTGTTCTGGAGCTTTCTCCAAATCAATCTTCATCATGGAATCATAGAATAGTTAGGGTTGGAAAGGACCTTATGATCATCTAGTTCCAACCCGCTTGCCATGGATGGGGACACCACACACTTAACTGTGTCACCCAAGACTTTGTCCGACCTGGCCTTTTAAACTTAAACTGCAAGGGATGGAGCTTTCACAACTGTCTTCTGCAGAGCCTCTTTTTTGTCTTAATGCAGTTTTTGCAATCACTGTTCTGAATTTCCTAGAGTAATTTTGAGAAAATATGTACTTATCCACTGAGAATATTTATTAACTAAGGCTCGAGTGTTTGATTACAACTTCTTCTCATGACACTCGTAAACAGATTAGATTTTGTTGTTCCCACTGTTCTGGAAATAATAAAACAATCCTTATGACTTCTTCATCTTAAAAAGTAAAATTTACCACCTAGGTTTGAATGATTACTTCTGGAACCTGTGATTGGGATTTCTAAATAATCGCAGTGTTTGTACATTAAACTGTCCATGTTTCTTCAGGGTCTTTCTTCAGATTTCTCTCATGTTTAATTATGATTATAGTGCTCCAGAATTTTACAGCTGACTATCCGCATATAGATATAAAAAATATATGCATTTTTCCTTCTTGGGAAGCAGTGCTCGGCAGTTTTCTGTGATATTCATAGTATTTATTCTAGATTGTTCAGACTAATTGAAAAAGATTGCATATAACAAGTTTTTTACTGCAGTCCAGTGCGTAAAAGCAAGCACCTCCAGTGACCCTTCTGTTAGGTGAAAAGAAACACCAGAGGTGCCCAGAATTCCAGATAGACTTGGCAACTAAAACTCACATAGCCATAGTTAAGGGAGATGACCCTAACCCTCATCAGTTAATGTAATTTGAAGAGACTGTAAATGGCACCACATTGAGATAGTGACTGATATGCTGGAGGCAGGGCTTCCTTTTAAAGGGGACCTAAAAATCCTAGGAATGGGCTGTAAGTGCTTAACAAAGGCAAATATGAAATCTGGCATGTGTAACAACACAGCTCCGTGCACCTGTACAGGTAGGAGACTAGAAAGAAGTTATGCTTCAGGGTCCTGATGGACAAATTGAATGTGAGTCTTCAGGTGTCTTTGTGACAGTGAAAGCTGACCAGGACTGGGGTGCACTGGCAAGACTGCAGCCAGAAGGTGAACAGAAGTGATTATTCCACTATATTTGATAATCATGGAGCCATTTTTGGGGTATTGTGTCTGGTGCTGAGCTTCCCAGTTCAAGAGAGATGTCGGATAAGTGCAGAGAATCCATCAGAGGAACGCTGAGTTGGTCAGGGACCTACAGAGAGGCTGAAGGACCTAGGCTTGTTTAGCCTGGAGAAGAGGAGACTAAGGGAGGGCCTAATTTCAGCCCTTTGCTACCTAGAAGGGCATTATAGATGGAGCCAAACTCTTCCTAGAGAGGCACAGCAAAAGGACACAATATAAGAGTTGCAAGTTGCATCAAGGAAATTTCCAATTAGATGTGAGGCAAAAAAATTCTTTTTCTTCAGGACTGGAAAAAGTACCCACAGAGGCTGTGAGATATTCAGCCCTGGAGGTTTCAGAAACTCAAGTGGACAAGGCCCTGAGCAATTTGATCAGGCTTTAGAGCTAGCCCTTTGAGCAAAAGATTGAGAAAGATGAACTATAGAGGTCCCTCCCAATATAATTTGATCATAAGTCATGCTCTCTGTGCATATCAAAAGGGTTAAAAGTTTTCTGAGCTTGTCAACCTGTTTCTTTTCAGGAAGCTCTACTGCTAGATCACACTCTCTTTTATCCTTGGTTTTCTGGCTGCTGCTTTTCAACAGCCTCTCCTGCATCCCCTTTGCCAAGTAGTCATTCTCAATGGATAGCCCTAGATCTTTTTCAGACAGCACCAAAGTGATGTTAATTTACTCTCTGTTTACTCTAACCAAACTGAAAATAGCAGCGATGATATTTATTTCACACATAAGCCACCTGGTGAATTTATGAGCAGCAGCAAGAGTCTTCAAGTCATCATTTAATGGTCACAGTGAACATTAAACTTGTTTACAGAAAAACTTTAGATATAAACAAATAAAAATAGGTACTCAGAGCTTACATTCATTATTAAGACTGATAAACAGGGCACTGCTACTCCCCACAGCTGAGGAAATTGCTTCCATTTCCTAGGCTTATATTATCTGATAAAACTATAGTGCCTTCTTCTTTTGTAATGCTCTGCCATATAAAATGACTCCTACCAAAATGATAAAAAATCCTAACAGAGGTGGAATTTGTTTTCTGTGTTGAAATAAATGGCAAAAATAATTGGATTAAAGATAGGCTTCAGAAAAAATATAATCTGTGATTATAACCCATAGCACACAAGACTCCATTATGATTTTTCTTTCTGCTGTCTTTATGAACATTTATATGAGAACATGCTATAAAGTTTAGAAGGATTCTAAAGCAATCAACATGAAAATGCAAATTTAAGTTATGTTCTTATTTAAATAAAAAAGCTAATTTCAATATGTACTTACTGTCTACTAAAACACAACTTTCTGGAGCCTTAAATGCAGAACATTTCTTGTTGCTCAAATATCCAGGAGTGATAACTGAAGTTGAGGGTCGTAAATTTAAAGCTGTGTAGCCTTCCTCATCCTCCATTGCCAGCTCGTCACCCTTCTTTCCTGCAATAGCAATACTTTGGGAGTAAGGGTACACTGCAGCATGACCAATGCTGAGACAATGAGAATAGTTCATTTTTCAGCATTTTCAGGAAAACCACGGAGGAAGCTGGCTCTAGTCTGATTACTGTGTCATTGTAAAAGTGTAACATGTTGAAAGCACATTAAGAAGTTAAAGTGGCAGTGTTAAAGATGGGTATTTTGTTCCTGAATGTGAAAATGGGAAGGCTTGTTTCCTGGTCAGAACTTAAGACTGTTTCATTTAACTATCCACCTGATCTGACTCTGGAATATCAGGCAAATATCAGGATTTTCTACATCCTTAAAATAAGATGCTCTAGAAATAGTTGCTATTTTGAGTTGTGGTTTGAAAGATATCTGTTCACATATCAGGGCACAAATATAACCACAAGAGCTGCATGGAAAGCAGCAGGCTGAATCTCCATACACTGTTACGAAATAAATGAAAAATTAATTTACAAAAATTCACTGAAATAAATTCTAGAAGGGGAAAAGCTGAGCTGAAAGGATGCTGAGGCCAGGAGCTCAGCACGATTCACATGACTGCTCAGCCTGTGTCAGGGGAAGTCCAGACTTCACTGAGCTCCTTTCTGCTGTTGTACCGTATGCAGAAGTCACCGTGCAGAAGTGGCTTGCCCATCCTCACTCTTCATCTCTAGCTCTCTGCAGTGCCTTGATCCAATGCTGAGTTGCAGTTCTTCAAAATCTTCAGTGACCAGCTCTCCTTAAACAGAGCACTTGTCCAGACATGATGAGTCACATTGTGGTGCCTTGATGGAAGGAAATTCCTCTCTTGCAAGAGAGGAATTTCTGTGGTAGCTCTTCGTGCTCTTGTGTGTAAGGTTCAAATTCTTCCATTTGCAAAACAGTATCAACAGCCTGGAAATAAACTGCAATACAGTCCAATGACTGGGCTATTCCTCCTTTGCTTTGCAGATGGTGAATTTTTTTCAGAGCAAAAGTATCTCTGACTGCATGTATTTCTTGCATTATATCTTACCTGTATGCAGAAAGAAGGTAGGATGGAAAAGTTGGGAGTAAAGGGTGCTTATGGTCAGTTTTGTTATACAGAGAAGCAACCAAGGAATAACAAGGAATAGCAGTCACTGTGTATTTGTGGTATACCCATAACATCCTCACAGAAACCTCATGCTAATATCGTGCAAAAATACTTGTTTATTGGGCCTGAAAACTGTATGTTGGCACCCTAGTGTAAAAAAAGGCTTTTCTGCAGATAACTGGGATTCAAGTGTGAGCTACTGAATTTGGTTGACAGCTTATGTGGCTGTAACTTCTTCAGTCTTAGCAACAACTTCTCAAGTCTGTAATCAATTGTCTTTGGGGGAAGTTCTCCAATCCGATTTTACTTCTGAAAACAGGAGGTAAAGTAATTTTCTTGTATCATTTTGTTAGCTCTGAAGTCAATAAGCAGTCTGTTAGTTATAGCACTTCATCATCACGCTCTCTGTCATTTAAGGATGCAGAGCAGGCAAAATGTCTTGTTTCTTCAAACTGAAAAAAGGTAAACTAAGGCAGAAAGTTTGGGTCTACGTTTGAACACTGATATAAATATTGTCAGCAGGCTGGACAAAACAGCTGTTTTTATTAACCAGAGTGTGACCTAGTAAATTGTATTAGCTGGAGTCTATGACTGGGGGGATTGGAAAGGGGCATGGTAAGGAGTGGAATTTAGATATGGAAAACACCCTGTTGTAGGGAACTGTGATTCAAAAATGCCATCTCAGCCAATACACAAACAGTACATTTCTGTGTTTCTTCTGCTATAAAGAAAAGTTAATTTCAGTGGAAAAGGGGATACAGACAGCACATCCTTAAAGCCTTTGTGATTACCCCACAACCAGGGTATACGCTTTGCCAGCCTCAAGCTTGCTGGACAGGGCTGTTCACCGCTACACTCTGAATGCCTGCAGTGAATGGTAGGATACTGCCTCTCTTTAATTTGGGGTGATTTTTACTTTATTTCTTTTTTTCTTCCTTTTATTATTTTTTTGTGTGTGTGTGTGTGTTTCAGACATTGTTTCACACTGTGAAACCATACTCTAACCCCACCTGCCTTTACAGTTACAAATACAGTCACTGCACTGGAAACTGGTTTTGGACTGGCAGTAAATTGACACAAAAGGTCAAGGCAAAGATATGATGTAGCCTTTTGGCTGCTTGTCAGCATGCAGAGCTGTCAATCTCAGGACGTTTGTCTTCCATATACTGCAAAACCACCCAGGATTAGCCTATCTGCTCCTCGACATGGATTGTTAATAAAAAAACATCCTGGAAACATCTTTCCTGTTTCTTCACAGTCACTCTAACACAAGAGAAAACTTAAAAGGTCAGACTTCTTTTTTTTTTTTTTTTCATTTCCTTCTTTCTTTTTACTATTTCTTCAAATTAAAGCAAAGCCCATCATTATCAAGAAAGAATGCATCATGAATACAGTTCAGAATACCTTCCACATATAAAGCTTGTATGAATGCAGAGAGAAACTCCAGGAAGTCAGCCGGGCTGTGTCTGCATGACAAGACAGAATCACTGTGCATTTTCACCCCCAAAGACAGGAGCAGATAGGAAAAGTTATGTTACAGATGCAATTGGTGAATGCAAACAGCAGACAGGAAAAGAAATCCACTAAGGTTTCCAGAGTATGAAACTGGTATTTGAAAATAACACCCAAAATGTTCATGTTGGTGATCAGAAATAGTTGTGTAGAGCTGAGAGCAGTGAGACACTAGAACAGCCTCTTGAAGAATATGACTAATGCTTCAGAAGCCCAGCTGCTACACCACTGGTAGATGGTCCACAATAAATAATCTGGGATGAAATCCTCAAGGAATGCACAAGTCTCCAGAGGGGACCAAGCTAAGAAATTGTGGGCTTTTTGTTCAAATCAAAACACAGTTATGGGAGTGAAATTTCTCATTTCAACTTGACTGTCATTGTTCTATGGAGATGTGGAGAGAGACATTTTTTCATTAACACTGCTTGGGATATTTTCACTATGGTTGGGTTTGTAGACTCTTCCTCAGCACATTAAATTAGCAGCATGGCATTCCAGGAAATATCTAAAAATACATAATAGCAGGTTCTGTTCATGCCTCTGACTCAAACCCAGTGTAACTCTTCAATAGATTAAAAAAGTAGAAAATCAGAAAAGTAGAGAAGAAGAGCAGAATCATTACTAGGAAAAAAGAAAAAGGGGGTGTGTGTGTAAGAGAACTAACAGTGTCAGGAAGAGGTATAGAACACGGTAAAGAGCTTAACATTTATAGCCAAAGGGTATCTTCTCCTGTGACACATGCACAAGTCCTTATGAGGACTATGAATCTCTGTGCTTGTCACTGTACTTTTTTTTCCTGGCCATCACTTTTGGCCATTTTGTCCATCAATTGTGTTGGTTAAAACTAAGTAATCATTTGGCCGTGTTCCATCTGGAATGACAGACTTGGGGTGCTCCTGGAGCCTGCCATCATGCCCATTTCCTTAATATGAAGATATTTTTACATGTCTAAAAGAGAATGAAAACAGGGAAATGTATTAGGACTGATAACAGCATATTTAAATTCTCGTGTGATAGTTCTCAAAAGAAAATAAAAAATTCCAACCTTGCAGAACGTCTTCTAGCTTCTCATAATCATTTGATCTGACAAACCAGCCCTCCTGACAAGAGTTGTTACATCGCTGTAATTGGACGGCAGGCTTTTCACAGATATAGCGAAGCTCTTCTTCACATGATTTGAAATATGTGGTAGTATAATAAATCAATCCACAGCCCTGGTAGTAGTACTTAGGCTTTACCCTAGGAAAGAAAAATCTTTATTTTTACATTGAACCTCTTCATATGGTGCATCCTTGCCTCTTCCAAAAACCTGTGTTTTCAAGAACTCCTTATGTGGCTTTCATGAAGAATATATATCCCCAGCAATAAAACGAAGTGTTCAGTGTTATCATGTACCAACTCCTAGGAGGCTGACCCTGTCCTGAACATGCCAACAAGCACCCCCAGCGGAAAATAAGTGTGAATCCTAAACTATTTCTTGTGCCTGGCAGTAAGAATCACTAACTCCTGGGTACTGACTGGAGGCTGTCAGTGGCTGTTTCAACAGAAATGCTAAGAGGAGACTGCCCAATGATGAAAGGGAAAATCAGTAAAGCAGGTTTGAAAGCAGGAAGAAAAATATATTGTATTTCTGAAATAATACATTAAACCCAAGTGAAATGAAATGGTTCTAGAGAATAAATAGTGCCTTTTATGAAAGTAACAAGATATTAAATCAAAAGCATGAAATGAAACACCTCTCCACTGGATATTTACCTTGTCTCCTCACTGAAACAAGATGTCAAATATAAGAGAAACATATGACATTTATGGTCTATCTGAAAGTAACTTGTGGAAATAAACTTTCTAGATTTTTTTTTTTTTTTCCCCCAGTAATAGTGCCTCCAATTACCCTCCAAGCAGTTCTGGGCGAGGCCAAGAAAAATCTAAAATGGAAAAGTGAGCCTCACATTACAGAGAGAGATGCATGAATGTTCAATGTTCAACTTGCCCTTTGAGTCACAGAAACCGGGAGTTGTATGTGGGTGAGGACCAACTTTATGTACTTCAAGAAAGATGCCAGCTTACCAAGACTTCTGTTGTTCTGTAAGAGTGGTGTTGTCTGCCCAATACCAGATACTCTGCTCAACTCTAAATCCAATCCAGTATTCTACTTCAGGGAAATATTTTGCCAATTCCTATGCATAGTAAGGACAATTCAAAATGGATATTTAGGAATATATTAAAACCAAATATTTAGGTTCAGAAGTTGAAATCAAAGAACATAGACACCACAAATTGTTCCACCTGTCAGAAAAAGTGCTGCACTTAGATGTTCTTACATTACAAGTTCTGTCTAGTCTCAAAGTGAAAATGACAGTAGGACTATTTCTAATAGGAGAGAACATGCACTTCTAGCTCTGAAGAGCAATGTCACCCTCATCAAGCTGATATAAACCCTCTGGGTGAAACACTAGATCATTCTCCCGCCTTTAGTCATGAATCATTCTTCCTTCTTGACTCTGTCCTTAGCATTTGTGAACAGCAAAAAAGGAAGCCTCTGCAGGGAGCTGTTCTCTTGGGTTTGTTGAACTGTCACACTTGGCTCTAGCATCATTAACTTATTCCCAAAAGCTGGAACATGACAAGTAGAAGATGTCTTAGAGTTAAGCAATATTCTAGTCTTAAAAAATGCTCTGAGCAGAACGGGTAAGAATGCAGATTTGAATAATGCTGGTTTTCTCACTGCTGCTGGAGGAAAATTTCTAAAGATTTGAATTCATTTTTTCTGTTATTCTCTTCCTTCCTTCACATATCACTGTCACCCCGAGTGCACGTCTCCATTTTCTGTTTTGTTTCATACCTCTCAATGATTAAGACAGCTAGAACAGACTGCGCTTCACAATCTCTGCTGTCACCAGTTTGTGAGGGTGAGAATTACGCTGCTTGCCTTTACTCCTGGGACAAACCTTATGGCCTGTAGCTCAGTGAGAGGGAAACTGGCATTTATCAAGTGCTGGAGAGCAGGCAGGCTCAGTCCTGACTGCTAGCTCTTGGGACAACTTTTCTGCTTTTAATTCCAATGCATCTGCTGGCATTCAGGAGCAAAAGAATTATTTCACTCTGCACCTAGAATTTTCTCTTCCCAGTTCAGCTTGTTTTCATTTACTAGAAGATTAGGCCAGGTTTCATCAGCTCATTGCTAATCCTGACTGAAAAGATGAGATCAACTTTTGTGGAAAGAAGTTCTGCAAAATGGGGAAGACTATGGTTTGCCTGAGGAAAAAAAAACAGGTTAAAAGAGGTTTTCACAGAAATATCTTTACCAAATCCTTGTATGGATCTGCAGTACTGGTAAAATTAGTGAAATCATTACCTGCAGCAAAGCAGCCATGAACCTGCTTTCACCCTTCAACCCAGTAAGATGCCAGCCATGGCAAGCCAAGGCAAAATGGGCTGTTCCTGATGGCCAGCCACTTGAAAGGCCACGCTCTGTGTGGTGTAGACCAGTTGTATGCCTTAGCATTGCCCAGGACAACTCAATCACTGTAGAAAAAACTTCTGCTCATGGTGCCATTTAAGAAAATTTTATGTGAGGCAAGTAGCTGATAGGGTGTAAGAATTTCCTCCACACTAAACGGAGTGAGAAACCAGTCCATACCAGCTTTTCTTTCTGTTTAATCAGAAGAAGAGTAGAGTTTTGTGAGGAACATAGTTGGAGACTCTGTTTCCACGACTTCTTTTCTGCGGAGTGGTAGTAACACGTATCACCACCTTTCCAGTTCCAGTTTGTGGGGCAGAGTACGCAGTTCTGGCCTGGAAAAGAAAAACCATCACCCTATTTCTGTTCCCAGGCTGTTCCTTATAGAACATCACTGTTAACCTCTGACAGCAAGATATGTAGGGACTGATGATATCTGAGGTGTTCCTCATTCAGTCAAAATCCTATTGTGGTCCCAGAAGTTTACGGTTCAGTTAGTAACAGAGATGAAAACTGAACCACCCCCTTATCTCTCACATTCCTATAGCACTGAGAAGAGGTTCAGGTGTTGCAAAAGAAGCGTGACCAGCAGGTTGAAGGAGGTGATCCTGCCCTTTTACTCTGCTCTTGTGAGACCTCACTTTTTGTATTGTGTGCAGTTCTGGTGTCCTCAACATAAAAAGGACATGGAACTGTTGGAACAAGTCCAGAGAAGGGCCACGAGGATGATCAGGGGACTGGAGCACCTCCCGTATGAAGACAGGCTGAGGAAGCTGGGGCTGTTCAGCCTGGAGAAGAGAAGGCTGCGTGGAGACCTCATAGCAGCCTTCCAGTATCTGAAGGGGGCCTATAGGGATGCTGGGGAGGGACTGCAGTGACAGGATAAGGGGTAATGGGTTAAAACTTAAACAGGGGAAGTTTAGATTGGATATAACGAGGAAATTCTTTCCTGTTAGGGTGGTGAGGCACTGGAATGGGTTGCCCAGGGAGGTTGTGAATGCTCCATTTGTGGCAGTGTTCAAGACCAGGTTGGACGAGGCCTTGGGTGATATGGTTTAGTGTGAGGTGTCCCTCCCCATGGCAGGAGGGGTGGAACTAGATGATCTTAAGGTCCTTTCCAACCCTAACTATTCTATGATTCTATGATTCTAAATGAGATTCATTTTGCCTAATTTTAGGAGTCTACAAAGGTGACATGAATCAACTCATTTGGATTCCCATTTTAGTCAATGGACAGAAGCAGGCTTGTCTCATGCATGGTTTTCCTGACATTCTAGATGTCTTTCTTGGGAGAAAACAGGCTGCATCCTTGCACTACCAGTTTCTCTTCATTAACTAAAATGGACGCCCAGACAATTAGCTTTATTGTGAAATGATATCTGGACAAATGAAATCCCCCTTCCTGACAGCCCTTTGCCTAATTCCTACTAGTGCT